GACGTCACAGTCATGAACTATTTACTTATAATGGGATACTAAAAACTGGGTAAAACATACCTAGATATACATAAGCATAACTAGTATGACACTAAAGATACAACACAAATCCTATCTTATCGACAAACAGGTAATATACATGGAAATACGCATAGAAATATGGAAATCACACAGGAAATAAACTGCGAAAATAGACTAGTTACGGAAACGTTAAATACAAGCTAACTAGTGAACAGAGCTATGCCAAACTGGAGAAATAGTAAACCTGTACTACTAATATCATTTTACAACAAGAATTACATAGAATTACGGCATTAAAACACTATAATAATAACCTAATACACAGAGGAAATATCTACACTGCCGGCAGTCTGACAAACCAGCAGAAAGAGAATGTTACACAGCTGCTCACTAGTGACTCAAGTGGTAAGAATTAATATGGGCAAACAGAATAAAATAGAGCTATAGACGTGGTCGTCTCACACAGATACTTGAAATCTTAAACTACCACAGCATTGGTTACATTTTTCATGATTCAGACGCAAGCACAGGGTAATCAGCTATGAGATATTATCATGGCGCACTCCAGCTCTGAGCTTCGAGAAAATCAAACTTTGATACCAAAATCTTCGACGTATGCCTTTTTAGTCCACTGTGAAAAACGCTGAGTAAACTTGATGTATTTCGATCTACCGTCGAAAACTTGAACTTATTTTTGTCTTGAAATCCCGACTGCCAGTAATCCAAAATTTCGACTTCCACGAGTTCAAAAATAAGACTTCAAATGCAGTGAAAAAACATATCTCCGACTTCGCTGCCTTAGTGATGGCGCGTCCAATCTTACCCCAGCACATCATGCGTGGACGGTCGTGTTGTCGTCCACCTCGTTCTCTGTTTTAAACCACGTTCCATCGCCACACCCTCTCAATACAATCATTTCCGAATTAGATAGAATGATTCCTAAAAAATTAATGAAAGGAAGAGTTTAATTAGAACATCAATTTTTAATTACCGCGATATGTTTTTTTAACATATACGCAGGTAAGTTTACCTTGCGTGTACATAAATACAAACAAAGCATTTCCAGAGAAATGCTGGCGCTCCTGCGAAGTGTGCTAAACAACAGATCGAACACATTCAAAAAAGAATATCAAATATGACTGGCTAAGGAATTTCAAACATTTTACCATCGACGAAATGTTGTATCGTTGTGCTTATTGAACAAGAAGTGTACATACATATGGATCGTTTTTTTATCATGCTGTTATGTTATTGTTGGAATTCTTTTCTTGTTTCACAGATAATACAATGAAATTTGTTTTCTCAACTTGTCACTGCTGAAAACGTTTTCAGTCATAAAACTCGTTGGCTGTGAACTCTTCTCGCCTGTTTACAGTCAGTGTAGCTCACCTACTAGAGTCCAGTGTTTCCCAACCCGAGTCCGCGGTCTCAAAGGAGTCCGCGGAGCGTTTGAATGAGTCCGCAACGTGTCAGAAATAGGGATGGCGGAATCGAGTCCGGATTCGATTCTTCGCGGAATCGACTAGAATCGATTCCGATGCATTGGAATCGATTCTCGAGGTTAAAACTTAGATTGCATACAATGTGTAACGATATATGGCAATTCTCTACTGCTAGGTTGAGTTGCTACGACGCCGCAAACTTCACTACATATATATATATGGGCCATTCCAAGCAAAAGTTGAATTCCATCAATTTTTTAAAAAGTGTAGTGAAAGTAATTTTTTTTTATTTTTGATATCAAAAGACATTGGAATTTTATTGGACTGCATTCATTTCATCGAACAATTTAAAATTTCACCCAGGTTTCTCATGGTTTATAAAAAATGGCCTGAAATGCAGAAATTTTGGTATAATTGACATATTTTGTGATGATTCCTGACACAAAGTGTTTGATTGTGTGGTACAGCTATTTCATATGGAATTGACGCACTGGATTTAAGTTAATAAAGTTTGAATGTTTGCAGTGCTGTAGAACATTTCTTCACCCATTTAACGATTTATTACCAGAATTCCAAGAGATGATAGATGCCGCTATTCCGAAGTGGAAAAATGTCCGTAGTGTCACGTCCTGTAGTGTCACATACAATATGCACACTATTGACATGGATTTACAGTGTTACATTAAGTAACTTGAGCAACACATAGAGGGGTAGTTCAGCTACTGCACCAGAAAATATTATGGGCTCCTACTGTACCATCACAAAAATTTACAGCACAACACAACGTACTGTTAGTGCATGGTGGATTTGCCGTCCTGTAGTGTCACGCTATATTTTACTATATTTTTTTTATCTACTAAGTAAGGTTGGGTGTAACTTTTGTGCAATTTTTTACATATTCAATAAAGCAACTGATTGGACAATGAAACAAAACATGTAGCTGAAAATGTGAAAATATATTGAATCTAACAACTTGCAAAATTTCTGGAATTGTCCCGTAGTGTCACTTGGAATAGCCCATATATATATTTCGCTAGAATGCTTTTATTACGTTTATTTATTTCTTAAATCTCTGTGGGTTCTGAAGGATTCGATTTTTTGTGCGATTTTGTCTCTTGTGACAGATTGGATACAAATAATACTTAGTTTGGGCCTTGGGTCAGTTTTCTCGGTAATATGTCGTGGAATCGATATTTGGAATCGAAAGAGTTAGGAATCGGATTAGAATCGAATACTTGTAAGTAATCATACTTAGCATCCTTAGTCAGAAATGCACTGCGGGCCGCAAACGTTTTTGCGAAACTCAACCATCAGCCAAGTTACGATTTAGGTTATATTTTAAATAAAACATAAAAAGCAAGTTTATTCACATAACATTAATTAATCGAGTCAATAATTACTTGTTACTGAATAGGTCTGGGCATATATTCGAATATTCAACTATTAGAATAGCAACTTACTATTCGAAAATTCGATAACAGGTGAGGCGACAAGTCACTTGCGCGTTGCTTAATCAAACGATCGGATTTCACAACCCACTTGCGGAGTTCCGACGAAAACACGAGTCGGCACACGCGTAGATAGATACCTAAGCGGCGTTTCTCGCGAGCTCTAACAACGAGGAATAATTTTTTTTCTGGTAGAGGTGTCAATGGTGGCAACGTAAATTTTCTAAATTGAAAGTCGGCAATACAAAATACTAAAAATAAAACGGCGAATAGTATACGTATTTTATGATGTTCCTCGACCGATTAAAAACGCATTTTTAGACATTGCAATTCGCAAAATTTCGGGTGCTACTGTAGTATACATAATACATATCAGGAAATTTTTCATTACATTAGGATTCTTTCCTTTACTGCCTCAACATTGGTACGTACAGTACTGGAGCGCCGAAAGTGTTGTACGAACAGCTCAGATTTGTCGAAATCACAAAAATACGAATACAAACAAAATATAATCAGGCACTTTACCACGCATTTTTGTGTCCACGGATTGTCGTGATATTTTCTTAGTAATATTGCTCTTATTTAGTGAACACAACCGCAGATTAAAAAGATCACAATTAAATTAATATTAAAGCAAGGCGATGAATATTTTTTTGATTTACTAATGTATATACTTTAATTAGGTTTTTTAATAAGTACTAAATCAAGTTGTACATTCTGGAAATTTATAGCAGATAGTAGGATTTTTCTAACGACGATAATAAATTCGCAGGATCGCAAAAAATATGTATTAAAACTAAATATAATCGGCCAATATATTCTTACATTATTATGTTCGCAGATTGCCGTGGCATTTTTAAAGGAGTAATGCTTTCGCAACCGCGAGTGACCACGAACACAATTAAATTAAAATACAAAAAAATTTTTTAATTCGCTTCGTTGTCATGGATTGAATATTGTGCGACAGAAAAGGCTATTTCTACACTAAAAAGTCGGCTATTTAAGGAAAAATCGATTTTTGAATTCGTTAAAATTATGTTGTGTTTGGTTTTATTACTTCTTCACACAGAGTACGGTTGCACTTGAGTTCGCAAAGCTTTTCGCCCGCGACCAAAAAAGGTTGGGGAACGCTGTACTAGACAGAAAAAAATTTACGCACGAATTCCGACAACTTCAGTTATAGTGTTTTTGGTCGTAATGGCATGAACCGCTTCCAGTCTCTCGCCAAAGGGTTATCACTACCGCGCAATTTACACTATAATTGCGTCATTTTAGATGTTGCCCGAAGCTTGTTTAGAAATCAATCTCCTCAGAAGATTCTGAGGCAACACGTCTTATTTTGCTTGGAGCAAATTTCCTAAAATAAAACGGGTATAGTATAGTTCAGTGGTACCCGACCTTTTATGGCTCCCGTTTATCATTGCAGTGGTATTATGATTAGTACATTTCAAATCCCAATATGTTCAAACAATTCATGCGAAACAAAGTGTGAAGTGACCTTATCAAGCAATGAAACTAGGGAGAACAGGCAAGGCAGTTCCTCTGCAAAAGAAAGTGTAAAATCAGTTCTGCGTCTAGCATCGTCCCAACCTTTTATGGCCCCCTTCCAGCACTCGTGGGCCCCGTTTATAACTGCAGTGGTATTATGATTACTGGATTCCAAATCTCATTATGTTCAAGCAATTCATGCTCAACAAAGTGAAAACAACGTGTGAAGTAACTTTATCAAGCAATAAAACTAGGGAGAACAGGTAGTTTCTTTGTAAAAGTGTAAAATCAGTTCTGTGTCTAGCATTGTCCCAACCTTTTATGGCTCTTGGCCCCCTTCCGAAGACTTTCAGCACTCATGGCCCAGTTTTTGCAGTGGTATTATGATTGCAAAAACAAAGTGTGAAGTAACCTTATCAAGCAATGAAACTAGGAAGAACAGAGAGTTTCCTAGTAAAAGAAAGTGTAAAAATCAGTTCAGAGTCTAGCATAGGCTCCAGGTTGGGAGCTACTGTTATATTCTTTATGCATTATGGCTGTTAATTTGATGTTATATGCATTGAATATGCATAATCGTTTCAAGCAATTGCGAGATATATTCAAAAAAACACCAAGTTTTAAAGCCATCAATAAATATAGCCTCAAGTGTAAACAACATCTTCTTAACTTTAATAAATTTGAATATATATGGTGTTTTTCGAGATAACACAACAGACTAGAGACATCGTTTTTTGGTACACAATGATGTTCTAACTGTACATTAACATCTTCAAACGAAAAAAAATTTATTAACAAAATGCATGGATTTTTAAATTGAATAAAAATACACATTAACATTTGTGGAGACGAATGTCAATTGTATAACGCGGAAAAAATAGATCAGCGCAACAATAGTACTAGTTGAAATAAATTATATTTTACACATTATCCTCAATTATAGAAACAACTCATATGCAGCCTCATACAAATGACAAAAAAGTGATTCAAATTCATCGCTATAGAGTTATAGTTTAAAACCATTCCCACAATTTGACAACAACAAGTCGAGTTGAATGATAGTCAGTGATGAAGTGTACTCGATTCAAATTGCCTTTGCTCGACCAAGTCCCACTGTATGCGAAGGCTTGGATATATTCGCAAAAACAAAAATAGCTTCCATTAGGTATTTGGGGTTACTTTATTGCTACACTACGATTCCTTTAATAAATATTTCTAATTTTTTACACATAAAAGTCGGAGCTACTCAATTTTACTATAATACTAACTTTAAAGGCAGTATGAAAGCTGGAGGCTGAGGGAGATATTAATTAGAGTTGTAGGTCTCTGGATATGAGCACATTCCAGATAAAAATATTGTAAATTCAACATTGTACTGATAGGTTATTAACAAAGGAATTTGCAGAATATAAAGAACAGCTACTTCATATAAACTTATCACAGTACATGAATACTGGTCAAAAAGTTCGACTGGTTTATGGGCTAGTGAATTATCCCACCCCGTCTTTGACATAATATACTGTTACCAAATCTGTCTTGATATTTTAAAGCATAAATGAATTCATAATATATAGACTATAACAAAAAGTTGGCAAAAATAAAACTAAAATTGCAAATCGCAAAGTGAAAAGGCATGTATAATTCTTACTCTAATTAAAATATATCATGGTGATACCTACTGTATTGAACTCTAGGACAGGTGACATAATTGTATATCTTACGCTACAATTTAGCATTCAAAGTAAAAAAGGGAGAATTATGCTTTTCATGTAGAGTTAAAATCAAAATAGCCATGCGAAATGTGTGAGAAAACTGCATCACAGAAAAGGAAGACCACTGCGAAAATTCAATTCTTATACAAAGAATACAGACCAAACAGATTCGAATACAGATCATGGTATTATTTACACAATAACATAAACCATGGCCTATGCAACAATCTGAAATTCTTCATACAAAACGATGAACCGTGTATGACAATAGGGATGTTTTTACCAAGTAGTATATAATCTACATAGTGAAATCATATTAAACTTGCATAAACCACGATTTTGCTACAAAGTGGATTAATTTAGAATACGTAAAGCCAAAGTCAAAATGAATCAAATTGAAAATCGAATATGATAAACTTAATTGAAAATTTCAAAACAGACAAATCTCTAATATAATTCAACAATAAATTAGTGTTGAGTTGTTTTGGAATATACCTCTATATTTTTCAGTCATCATACAACAAAGTTGCAATTTAAATGTGACATATTTACCGGCAATTGTCATTTCATTTGTTCCAAATTTTGTGGTATTCAAAAGTATTCCACCATAAAGTCCCCAAAAATGCAAAGATGAAATTGTACTGCATCAAATTATTTGGGTACAAAGACTATATAATAGTCAAAATGATTCAACAATTTGTAATCTCGAATAAAACCAACACGACATACAAAATACACAATTTAGTCTTAATTTAATTTAAACAGAGTCAAATTTTGCAGCAAAACAGGATTAAAAATTACAAGTAATATATTAGTGAGGTAAGAATAAAAAATTGGCAAGAGAATATAATACAGATTTACTTTTATCAGAAAAAAGTTTTTTTGCCAGGCATGAGGGATTTATAAAGACTGCGTCTTCCAGCACACTCCACTCAGGGTTCATACTGGTGGTGGGAGTTAAATTTTAGGAACAGGTTCTCTATTGTGTCAAAATCACTACCAACGGGTTCCCTCATTTCAGAAATATATAACATGACATATTTTAGACAAATAACTTTCTAAACGCCAAATATAACGCTAGTTGTCAGCTGCGACGCATGTAACCCATTTGCTTCGGTCATATACCTTAAACAAAAAAATGGGGTTCGCTGATTATCATGACAAGAATGGGTTCGTTCGAACCCCCTGAATCCCACCACGGCTTCATACTCTATCTGCTATTTTCCGATTCATTATTTCAACGCCACGAACATATTGCCAACACAGTAGATGTCAAGTCTCGACTGAACACTGTATTACAGCTCACGATTTTCCGCGTACATCTTATAACCTTGGGTCTTCTTTCCTCTTGCTGAGCAATCCTACTGTTCAGTGTTTGATAGATCAGTCATTTGAGCATCGTTTGGTGATACGACGACATTGAAAACACGGCCATCGACGACGGGGTGCCTTACGATTGGTGGTAGAGGTGACTGGGTTGGCAAAGTGCGAAGGTTACTACAAATGGTACTAAGGGAAGGTAGAGTTTGAGCAACGGAGGCTTGACCTTCTACGGAACTGGTATGTAAGACAACGCTCGACCTGGCATGGGATGTTGTATTTGGAAGCAAGACGTTATTGGAAGTCAGTACACCAGTTCCTGGAGGTGAGATGTGGATGTTTCCAAAATCACTCCCCAATCCTTGAGATGGCGACATTACATAAGATGAGGCAGGACTGTTTGCTTGGTAACCTATTCAGAACATACAATTATGTAATTTGACATTTGAACAAACACATTAAACAAATTTTGAACACCACACATATTATATAATATGAAGAATGTTCACCACCTTCGTGTACTCACCATATTTAGAAACTTTTAACAGAAAATCAAAAGCAAATCTATTTGCAAATTTTGTAAATACTACTTTTCTTGTGGCCCCACAATAACTGCTACATGGCCCCCTCGGGATGCCCGCGGACCCATCTTAAGAAACCCATAACTAGATAAATTGGAACTAATTAATATAGGTCACAGAACTATCCCCTTGTACCTGATTCACTGGAATCATCAACAATTGTACAGACAATATCTTCTGTTCCAGTAGGTGACATGCAAGGCTTGCTCCATACATTACTCTCTGGTGTAGCAAGGATAGGACAAGGTGGTAAATCATCTGTAGGTGCTTCCTTCAATCTAGCACATAGGTCCTCAGCTTTTTTGGCATGCTCTTGAAAATTATGAGCTGAAATTATTAAATTATTCGTTAGTGAAAAATAAGCTTGCCTCAGTGGCCTAGTTGATAAAGCGTTAAACTTAACTATGACGCCATTGCAGGTTAATAGCTTGGGTTCAAAAGCTGTGATAGACTATGCCAGTGGATCTCAACTTTTTAATTACTGCGTACCACTTTAGTGTTTTTACCCCAGCCAGGCACCATCGACACAGACCCCTGTTTGGGGTAGGGAACAATGAACAAAGAACACGCTATGGTAGTATTCTATGTGAAGCTACGAGGGCTATCTCTAAGGAAAAGGAGTGGTAGTGCTATAAACCCACTCAGCGAATACATACAGTATGGAAGATAAAGTGAAAGTGTTGCCACCATATTTTAGCCAACTCAAAAGATCAATATTATATGATACGAACACACAATCCATTTTTTGCCAATTTTGCATTTGTTTCTTTGAACAGTTTAAAACCAATCAAGTATGTTTATACAATGTATCACTATAATAAATCTTGAAACATCAAACCATTGGAATAAAGAAATATCCACCTGCTATTCCATCTTGATGTAAAGGCATTTGATCATCAGGTACAGTTGCACTTGCACAAAATTTCTTTTTAACACACGCTTTCTTATCACACTTGAAAAACTAAAAGAAAATTTAAGAATAAGATATTGGAACATTTTGTCAGCAATATACTGATAATGTATCAATCCCATTGGTTATACTGTGTACAGGGTGTTCAAAGAGTCCTGTTACAATTGTGTTGCGGTTTCAATTGTGTTACGAAGTCGGATCTCAAAATATCTTAACCAGGTTCTTCATAAAATACACCTGCAGAGGACCATGTAACTATAAAATGGTATCGATGCATTCTCTTAGTATTAAATTTTCAACCTAAAAATTGCTAAGACTTTATGAACACTGTATTTTGTGTCTAAGATTAAATTCATGAAGGTTGGCTGCTTTAAGATAATAATAATAATAACTTTACGATAATATATCCATGGGCCATAAGCAAATGTTATTATTTCAGAAATATTTTAGTAAACACCACTGTTTATAACTGTTATCTGGTATACACAATTTTCTTAATGGAAGACAGTCCAGGGCTGGGGAGCTTGTTTAAATAAATTTACAGTGACTTTGGCTCCAACCCCGTAACAATTGAAATTTTTTGTTATGGCTATTACCATGAAACATCAGCGGCTTCAGCGCAAATGCAGTTTTGGGTAAAAGGGTACAAAATGTACAAATTTTAGGAAGTTACTTTCTTGAACTAAAGGAGTGTTGGATTCATAATGCTAAGATTATAAACTTTACTATAAAATACCTTTTCACATTTGGCTCGAAATTTGTCTGATAGTTTGATAGCTTGTTCTCTTGCTTCTCTCCTTTCATTCATAAGTTGGGCATGTTCCGATCGCAAAGTCTCAATTTCAGCAACAAGCGAGCGAATACATTCCATTTTTCTTTTTCTGCATCGTTGTGCAGCAATACGATTTTTACCTCGCCTTCTGATTTCATGAATGGCACAGATCTGAAACGATTCACAGAATGAAACTGCAATGGAGAGAAAGCTCTATGCTGCTGTATTCATCCACTGTTGGAATGACTGGTGATAAGTTGACTTATGGAGATTTATAAATTCTACTTGTATAAATGTAATTTGATAGGGGAAATTAGCATTTTAATAGAGTAGAAAAAAACTATCAGCAACATTTGAAAATAATTTTATCTGGGATAGCTTTGGAATAAAAATTCAGATAATTGAAATTACTATTTTTTATTTTTCCTGGAATCTGTGATTTATACCAAAATTAACAAGCATTTCCACGTAAAAAATAGTTGCATTTAGGATATTCAAAATTAATAGCGAAATAGTATTTCAAAATACATAACTATGCTAATATGGACATCTCTTTGTGACATTACCCATAGGAAGTAAAGATTCAAGGTTACCTGCTCTTGAGTCAGATTGGATTCTCTTGTTAAAAGATCATGAAGTTCAGACCGAGGCATGGAGGTAATTTCATCCATTGTAAACGGAAGTTTTATTGCTGGCTGTTTACGAAGTTTTCCACATGGTCGCATGTTACATGGACTGAAAAAATACAAATATTACATCATGGACCATAAATAGATGTTACTTCCTAATCGCCTCACCCAGGGTATAATAAATTGCGTGAGCAATGGCAGGCTGAAAAAATTCTCGTTCTTCCAAGTAATAGTAGCACCTTTCCTATCGTTAGGAATCAGTGGCTACTTATATAATGCCTTGTTCGGAGCGAAAGGTATGAATATGCGTCGTATCAAAAATACTCCATTCATTGAACTATTTCATTGCTTTTGTTTTTCTGATTCTCTCCGTAACAATGTCTCATAATTCTGTAACATATTTTCCTAGAATGTGCATGTGTGACCCATAGTCTTTCAAAGAAGGTAGGTATGTACAGTGCCGTATTTTAAAAACAAAAATCTCAGTTGCATGTTTCGAAATTACAAAAGTTTTGGGGCTCCCGAAGTATGCGAATCAAGATGGCAGACATCAGAATGTAATATATGTACTAGGTTAGGGTTAGGCCATAATTCTAGGTATAAATACTACGGGAGGCTCTTGGCTAGTCTTCGAACTGATAATAGGACTAAAATAAGGAAAATTGGAAAGAAATTATCGCCTAACCCTAACCTGTTACCCATGTTACGTTCCGATGTCCGCCATCTTGGTTCGCATACTTCGGGAGCACCAAAGTTTTTTATTAATTTACAATTGTCTTGAAGAATTTTTATTGTAAAAAGGACCCATTTCAGAATATATTCAATACTCAAATTTCATACTCTCGAAAAGATTATTTTAGAAATTATTTGGTTTTGGCATTCCAGAACATTATTAATGAATATTTTGGTTTTTGCTATTTTGTGCAAGAGACAAGAACTCATGACTATGACATGCAGATATCAAGAGCATTGGGTTTTGTATATCATCTTAACATCTGTATGGAAAATTTATTAAGATAAAACTTATTGATATATTCTCCATCCACATTTTAATTCGAAAAATAGACGATCACACCGATTTGAACACTATAAAGTGGCCATAGCTGCCAGGCACCAGCTGTGAAAAATGCAGTCCTTCCTGAAGAAACTTCAAAAAAGGAAGATGGTTGAGCTGCATTGTAATATTATATACCAACTTTATGAGATAAAAGCATTGAAATAATTCAATGCATTTCAATATCACATGAATTCAACTGAGCAAGTTATGAACAGTGGTTGATGCAAAAGCACAAATATGGAAACATTATTTTACGAAATATATAATGAGTGATGTTGAAATGCAAGTACGCTCAAATGTGGTGATTTTATATCAAATAAAATAAATCTATTTTAAAGGCTAACCACATTCTATCATAAATAAATCAGCTTGAGAGAGACTAAATATAATATACAATATTGAAAATCTGTATCTGCAGTAACAAAAACACTACTGTTTTTGTCCGGGTTCCGCAGCAACCTAGGGTTCCATTCAAATCCCGAGTCTACATTAATGTATGTTTATATTGTTTCAAGTAAATCAAATACCTATTTGGTTTGCCAGTATTATTTAACTTGATACACTTTAAAGATCATTTTGTTTTGCCAATAATAGGTTTGCTTTTACATATGCGTATATTCATATAAGCCTACCCCCTAAAACGGTGAATATATGAAAATTCACACATAAGCCAACCCCCTAAAACAGTGAATTTATAAAAATTTGCATATAAGCAGACCCTACAAATCTCACGCTATTATCGTAAGAACTTAGCTGGTTCGAGTTGTAGCTGTTGGAATTAAGTTAGCATAATTTCATTTCGTTTAAGTGCGATCAGAGTTATGCATGTATGAGTTGAATTTTAAGGACGATCAGAGTTACTGCTGTATAAGAGAAACATGCCTCAGCAAATTATACCCATTTTCACTTACTAAAGAGTGTTCATACAGGCAAAGATTGTTTTCATAATAGCATCAAAATATTCATACTCCCAATGGTCTATTAGTCATGCAAGTTCAATATACATTAATCATGACAAAACATATGCTGTAATTACCATAAAGCAATGGAAAATATTATGCGATCAATCTTGGTCTATAGTAAACTTGAATGTTAATTGCAGCCCATACCAGATCAATGCAACAAAACATTGACCTCAAATGACATTTCAAATTAATGATTCATCAAAAACAAAAGCAAAAACTATGCAAAATCAATCATTCTCTCTTATTTCAATATCCGAGCAACCTTTAAATGCAGGATTCTTACTCTCTACGATACACAGGTTTTGCATCGTGCTTGCACTAATTTATTTTTATAATGTTGCATTTGATTTCACTCAGAAAAGCAATCATAATTACGGTAATTAATCATAGGAACGAATGTGAATGTGGTTATTAAAATAAGCCTTGCGCTATTAACAAATTTATCAATGCGTATGAAAGACTTATAGGGACTCTGAAAAACTGAAATAGAAATATGATTATACTGTAGAGTGTAGAGGCTGATGTGTAAGTGGGATTGACATAATATTCAAATTACTAATTTTATTCACTGATTCATCAGTTTACTAATATGATTGATAAACAATCTTTTTTTGGAAGATACTTTTAGCCTGAATTTTGAAAATATATTTATCTGGAATTATCAACATTTATTTAGCAAAATTGATGGAGCTGGAACTAGAGCCACCAGAAATTTAAGTGGCTCCAAATCCTCATCACCTAATTATTTTTTCAAACTTATGAATGTCTAATACCTAATACAAATAATAAAATTCATTTTTCATCAACTTGTAAATTTTTTTCAATATTCAATTTATATTATTCATTGGTACAATGAATAATGGACATGGTAGGCATTCTTGCCTTACTTTGCAGCTGAAACACACAACAACACGGATTTACAATTCAGCTTCAACAGTCGCGGGTTGTGCACCCATGATTCAGAAGTTTCAAGTTGAATTGGTATACCATAATTGAAAAATCTATTTTAAAACTTGAAGCTTTTATACCCTTTGTTGCATTTGGGCTAATGTTTCATGGTAGGGGTCATATAGAAACATCAATAGCTATAGAGTGAGCCAAGCTCTGTCATACCGTGAGTACTAAATATATCAGATGTAAAGCCAGACCAAGGAATATCCAGAACGAATCACTTATCCCAATACATTCGAAATTCATTATAATGAATATGGTAAATTTTTGAATTAAGGAATAATTTAGAACATTTTTTTGGTAAAAAAATTGGAATTTTGAGCCGTCAGACAAGTGGATCAGATCAAATGAATACAAAATTGATACATGTTTTAGTACAAAAAAAAAATTATTTAATACCTTTATAAACAAGATAGTGATATTTGTCAGTATATTTTAAAATTTTAGGTACCATACTACTGGGTAAGCTGTCAACCTGATGTCAGATATATTTTTATGAATGTTATAAAAAACAGATTACGAAGTTACCAATAATATACGTCAGAACTCAGTGTGTGTCACAATATGTTTTGAATTGATAGATACTAGTTAATAGGATATTAATAAAGACTGCATAATAATCATTTCAATAAATTTGTTAGTGACAGCTTCATTGATTTTCATTTATATATTTCATATATAAAACTATGTTTGCTATTCCTATATTTTATTATATCTTTCATCCTAAATATATGAATACGTCAATTTTGTGATAACAAATATGTTTTGAATTTTCCATTGCTTGATAAGAAAAGACATGCAAACAACAAATACAACTTAAGAGTCGATGCGGATTATTAGATGATGACAGGTATAAATTTGATAACTGGACACACTGTTATGGTTAAATTATGAAAATGTATAATAAAACATTTCATCTTGTTATTTGTTTTCGAAAAACATCAGGATTATGGGAATTCAATATTTAACAAATTGCATCTTAGTTACATTTATCATCAAGCACCAATTTAACACACTATCTTTGACCAAGCATGAAACAGAGGAGAGGAAAATCTATAACTCTTTCATGTTATTAATCATAATACTTTCAAGCCTGCACTAATAATGTTACATGTCTTCCACTCATGCATGATCAAATATGATTAGCTATTGATCAATGAAATAAGTACTGAAAGTGAACCCATTAAAAAGGTTGCCAGAACTCAAATTATATTATAAACAAATATAGCTTAAAGTTGAAAAAGGTTTATATCAGTTAGTTAGTTAGCGCTTAGTACTTATGCGAGATAATTCTCTCATGTTTCAGAAAATGAGAGAATGTCTGTTTGTCCTTGCAAAGGGATGGCTCAAATCTGCCAGTAGTCATGACTAAGCAAAAATGTGGGCACTTATACCAGGAATAGTTAATATGTTTAGAATGATAAAACTTTATTGCTTTAAATTGCGGTAATAAAACGAGAGAGACTTATAAATAAAATAAATCCTTTATATGGTTATTTAAATTTAACGCATGGCTTGCAAATGGACAAAAACCATCAAATTGGTAGAAACATTTTTGTAATACTGTATCACAGTAAACTGTGTTGCATATGGATTTGGATATAATCTGGAATAGATAAACGAAGACCATAACTCTACAACACTACTTAAATTTGAGAATAGGATAAAGAAATAAAACAAACAGATAAACTCAAGAAAATTCAGAAAAATTTCACTTAAAAATACAGACAATTACTTGATATTGTATTTTCATAAAACTAATCTAAATTTTGTAAAATTGGACACAAATATATTTTAGATGTTATAAACTAATTCTGAACATCCAAAATTAGCCGAGAAAGGAATTTTAGAATAAATAACTATGCAGAGTTAATAATAGATTTTTAGATATATTAATTCTTTTTTCAAGCTCAAAAAATTTCGGTAAGACAAAACACCCAAAGAACCCATCCACTGCTAGATTGCTGCCCATGTCTCATAAAATATGAGGTAACAAATGATTCAACAAAAAAATGTGATACAACGATCAGTCGCTCCGCTTACCAAATTTATAATACCCAGTAGTAGCCACTGCGCTAGGCCATAGCACCCAGCACAACAAAAATCATGTCTTTAATGCAATAACAAGCATGGATAGAAAACAAACCTGGATTCTGCCTCATCATCCAAATCGTCAGTGTCTGAATTATAAAAGGGTGAAATATATCCGGACATACACAATTTTTTCTCTTGTCCAGGACACATTGATTTTTGCCTGTACCCCTGTCTGAAGATAAAAATACCAATATATACTTTTGACGAAACTTATTCAATTTTACAAATATCAATGCAAACGATTTTGTGAGTGAATAAAGCAAGACAATCCACAATAAATTAGATGGCATTCAAGGGATGAAAATTACGCTACACAAAATATCAAATAGATTTAGATTTTTTGACGCTGCTTTCACGTCTTTTGCTCTAGAAAAGAGCCAGTAAAAGGAGCCAATGATATTTAGGAGCTACCTTTGTTTGGAATGCTTCAGCATTGCCTGCTCTATTTATTACACTATGGGTAAGGTGGTGAAATGGGATTTCTACCAAAGACGTGTTAACTGCAATACCAACACAGTTAATTGGTTTACGGCTTCAACCGAGAGGCCGTCGCTACCACACCCACTACTTTGTTAGAGTGTAAATAAAAAATGCCTGATCATCATGTTAATAAATTTTTTAACGACCTAATGGCCTCATTAATTTTTACATTATCAGTATTTTTAATCAGAGAAATTTTACAGTGTTTACTATTTTTAGATAATTTCATTATAATCTCCATTGTAAATATATTAATGATTTAGCCTTAAATGAAATATTACAAGAAGGGTATTTTGTGAATATTTTTAAAAGTTGAGAATGTGAATGTATCCCAAATAATATGAAATAGAATATCTGTGATACAAATCACAGATGCAAGGAAAAAAGTTTAACAGAAAACTTAGTGATTTTTAAAATGGTCATACTGTCCAATAGTTGAGATAAATAATTAGAAATACAGAATTTATAATATAATATTTATAATAATACTTTCATGATCCCCTGCCATAATTCGAAGGCTCTCATTGCCTGTGGATGCCGGAATTTTTTTATCATTTATATTACGTGCCACTTTGATCATAAAAAGTCGAAAAACGAGAGCAAACGAATAAATGCTTCACAGTCGAAGAATGAAACAAATGACAGTGAATGCACTTCAACAAAGTAGTCATTGTGAACAGTAAAGGCTTTCTATAAATCAAATCCTCAGAACATAACCTATTTCACTATAAAAGTGGAAATAATCGCAAGATTCCAAATGTAACTGAACGATTTTTAAAGCCCGATACTCACTGCATTGGTGATGATTGTGCAGCTGTTTCATTTGCACCAACTTCCATTGCCTTTTCGTGAACTGTTGCTGCTTCCAGTCCATGTCGTTCCAGAATATTTTTGAGCAATGCCTATGAATGATAACAAAATATGAGAAACCAATATGTCTGAATCGGTTATAAAGAGCTGTGCATCATATCAATTTTGACATGTATATATAAGTAATATATGTCTTCAAACCTTTTATACATCTCTATCCTGTTAAATTTGTGTAAAAGGAAACTCTCAGCTAAGGTACGTGGCCTATATATGTTTATTCATCTCAAAATAGAAATATATGTAGTTGGGGTGACAATATTATTAACAGCACTGAAGACTGGACACATGCAAAGAATCATACACTGGCATAAAACAAAAATGTGCGGCATGTTTATCCCTTTTGAAAAAAATTTTGAAAACAATAAAATATGAGTATTATGGTCCCCTCTACCTGCTAATAGACAGAGCAATTAATATGACCAGAGGGTATAGGGGAGTTACAGACATAAGGGTGGTGTATACAAAACTTTTTCTGCAATTAAATTCAAACGACAACACAACACAGACCACAAATCTACAATGAATATATAAAAGATTAAAGCATTGGACATTCAGATCCATAAAACACTCTTTGGCAAATAGATCCATAAAGCAGAGCTTTAAACTGGGGGTCCCGAAAGGGCTCAATAGGGATCATGCTAAAATATTTTTCGACGCTAAATTATGTTAAAACCCAATATCAATCAAATTTGAAAGATTTGAGACCAGCACTGAGACCCACCATCACCGAAATACAGCTGAGATTCGATCCTTTGTGTGAAAATACGCAAGCACATCAATGTCATTAAAGGTACTGTCAATTTTATTATATATTTCAATTTTTTTCTGCACTATTAAATCTTACTCAACGTTTATTATAGTTTCTGCGGGTCTGAAAAAAATTTGGCTGTGCCAAGTAGGCCGTTATGAAAAAAGTTTGAAGAGCATTGCCTTATTAAAGAATAGTTGAAGGTTAGATATGGGCATATGGCTGAGTGTAAGAGATGATTGTTTGATAATTCAAATTTCACTCAGTAATATCATATGAGTGTTTTATTCACCAAATCAAATAAATTGATACATTTTACCCAATAACCAAATAAGCCTGAGTCTCCAAAATCTTTCCAAATTTTTTGATACAATGCCTCTCCATAATCACAAGTCACAATTCAATTTAATGATGAAAATGAGCATTTAACTGGCTCGGCTTCAAGTCGATAATGAGTAAATTAATAAAAATTAAAAACCTGATGTTGTTCTTGGCTCATCTGTTCACCACATATTTCAGACTTTCTATTCCCATCTAAAATAAAAAATGATTATTTCAAGGCTAAAATAATTCCAATCATGCTGATTTATAACAGAAACTATGTTTCCTACTTCTCTGGTGATAATCTCAACTGGTAATAAACAACACAAAGGAATTATAATGATCTTCATATTTATGTCATTTCAGAAATGATAAACATGAAGATATGTTGATTTATATTATTTTCCACATGAATGCGCCCTTAATTTAGAGTGTATTCGATATTCCATATTAGGTTTTGGCCACCATAAAAGAAAATATAAACAACTTATACGAATATATATTCAACATCAATTTCATTGCTGTTACAGTCAATTTCCTTTAACAGTCTGTATGATTTGACGCAAGCAAAACCATTCAACCCAATGAGAAGCAAAGCCTAATAAAAAGTCAGAACCGGTATCAAAAACATGCAAGCCTAATTTAAAATACCTGATAGCAGCCAAAAATAGCAACAGCATAGATTATATAGACAGAGATAGACTGACCATATTTAAATTCTTTGCATTCTTGAGATGAGTTGGCAGATGACGATGCATTGGTGGCTGCTATCGCAGCTTTCTTTTTCGAACCGAAACTAAACTTGGAACGAAGAGGACATTCATACTTACTTTGTGGAGCCTGCAATATAAAAGATGAGAAAAGTAGATTGGTTAAAAATGAAAACAAATTTGGTATATTTCAACGCTTCTCAAATAATAAACATACCAAGAGGGGTCGATCGAGAGATATTTAATGGTCAAAACTCAAGGGGTTTATCGAGAGGGGTGCTCGATCTTGTTGACCTTAGAGTCTTGCCTGCAATGTGCACTTTAAGGTATAAATAAATAAATCATTATCTATCTTTGTCAATAATACAAGTGATTTTTAGGATATACCAACAGTAGTGGAGAATTCAGATTATGAAAAATTGTAATGAATTGCAATGAACACAGAGGATGTATAAAATCTATGCCTTATCCAATTTTAAAATTATCCGTAAAAGTTACTGAACAAACTTTTTGTTTATTTTCAAATCAAAATAATAATTAACATTGTTTATAAATCCTAAATTCTTAATAAACAATATCATGCAATAAATGGCAAAGTCGTGGTTTGAGATATTTTCAGGTCAATCTATTCTTCATCCAAGAATATATTTTATTAAGTTTATAGATAACAAAACAAGTTCACATAAACAATAAATACCTGAGTATTATATTTAGACAGACCAATAACTCGCTAAAATACGCAAATTGTTATATAAATTTAACATGAACCGACCTTTTCAGATTTGCCTGACGACTTCTTATCAGCATTCGTTTCTGCAATGAAATGGAATTTAAGCGATAATAAAGTTTAAAAAAAAACATGAAAAATTTATTATGTTTTTGTATGTCTTTGTATGACAGTCATTAATATTACTAAAAACCATGATAGAAATTTCTTTCTAAAAGGTCGTACTAAAAAAACTTGCGGCACTATTAACATTATAGATTACCATACTTTATAAATAAATGTATAATCAATCAGACATTAACAAATGGAGGACCCAGCTTCCCAAGCTATAAATAATACTCCTTCCTGCTTGCTCAATTATACAAATTGAAATAGCCATTCTGTTATTTGTTAAACCGAAACCTAATAGTTCAACATCATGCAAAAACATATCACGTATCTTCAATAGGAATAAGAAAAGGGCGTTGGAGTGAAATTGAAGCATCAGTAGCAGAAATTGATAAGACATCAATCATGGTATTTTGTATGTTAAATTCGAATTCAAGTTACAAAAAGGTTTAACAATAATGTAAAATGTAATCTTTAAAAGTTCATATTTATTACTAATTACATTCATACTTCAAACACATATATTTCTGAACCTTACTGGCAAAAGAGTTGAATGACATTTATATCCTATCATCAGCTTTTATAGTAATTAAATGAGTCTGCAAACCTTGAACTACTACCGTAAGTATAAAGACAAAAAGAATGAGTTTTATGTTTGCATTGTAGATTGAAAGTTCTTGGTATTGTATTCAATTGACTATATTGAATAGGGTGGGGTAATACCAAAATACAAATATCCTATACAATAAATCTTGCTTAGTTTCTTATTGGATAATGTTAGCTTAGCACCAACTGCTAGATTTGAATCCGAAGATCATTTTAAAAAGTTGCATTTCATCGAGCACAACACAAATGAAATAGAATGAATTCATACTTTATCAACATGTTAAAAAGGAAATAGCTAAAATATAACGAAAATGCTTTATTCCAAAATTCAAGTTTTTTATATATTAACAAATGGCACACCAACTTTTCAAATTATCTCAACTAGCCATATTTTAATTACTTTATTCTCGATCTCTGATAAAATTGGGTGTTTTTTACAAACTTTTCTATTTAAAATTCTTTGGTAGAAGGTTTTAGAATTTGGCCGTGCATTTTTTTTAGAGAATTCAATTCAACTGTCCCCTATTCCAGTTCTCAAGTAATAATATCAAAACATTCAAATTCGACCCAGCGTGTAATATATCACACACAAAAGAGCCCATCCCAGTAATAAGTTCTCAGAAATTTATGCTGAGTCACTAAATAAATTATAATTTAATTGTTCAATAAAGGCAGTGTCATGAATGGTAGCACAATGCAAATAAAGGATATGGGTTGAGCAACAGGTGGTTACGGTTGCACTGTCTGTTGCAACACAGAAGCATGTGTCATGTTCGAATCATTGATAAATGAGTCCTGTAAGGCAACCCATCATGACAAAAGATAACATAATGACAGAATTAAAAGAAGAAAGAAATAAAACTTTGCATGCACATGTGGGTTTTAATCACATGTACAAATAGCCTATTGCATAATATTTTAGCTCAATGTAAAGCTTAATATAACAATACTGTTCAAATAATATACCATAAATACTGACATATTGAAACAATATAATAACATTTGGCGCTCCAGAAGTATGTGTACCAATATAAAGGTAACTAATTTTGTTTGCCTACTTTACATCAAGTTGTGTAAAGGGACGGAAGCCTGTGGTCAGTGGGGTATATTCACTTGGCGAACACAGACAGTCCTCGTCTGGTCGACTCGTAATAGAACTGAAATAAGGGAAATCGGAATGAAATTATGGCCTAATCATAACCTGGTACACATACTACGGGAGTACCTAACATTTATACAAACCTTGCTTGCCATATTGTTCATATTGCCTGTAACATAAATAAATATAATGGTGAAAATTATAGCAAAATAGAAACCCAAACTAAGAGAGAGACCCACGTGGGCCGTATAAAACGCCAAACTTAAACAAATTATGACTCATCTATACAAGAAGGCCCGATAGCATCAACTTGAACAATTATATTGCATAATGATAAATATCTATATGCCACAGGGCACTAATACCACATTAACTGCAATAGAAACATCGAAATGCCTGATAAAACACCAGATAAATTTACATCAATTACTGAAGCCAACTGAATAAATACTATTAAATGATCTGAACTCTAGTTTATGTAAATAAAATCCAAGGTCACCTATTATTAAAAGCCAAAGTTAAAGAGATATATCCAGAATTGCGATATGTATGCACAAACGTAGTATAGTTGCTGTCAGAAGGGAATGAATATTATTTTCTCATTGGATGTTATGTTATAATAAGCTGTTAACATGACATACCTTGAAATTTTGCTATTTTCACAATAATTTGACGTTTCGGTTGTCCCAAGAAAACAGTCGGCAGATTTTCCGTTTGTTAATTGCTAAGAATAGAAAATTAATGTTCTATTACAAATCTTGTTTGTTGTCATACGTCAATCTCTCAACCTCAATTCATCATCCATTCATGATGGAACGAAAAAAATAAGGAATTTCTTGAAAAAAAATAAAACACAAACCTGTTTTAAATAATTTAAACATGAAAATTCAATGTTCTTAAATTCCAATTCACGTGCTGCACAGATAACATCATCAATGTTGGCTTGTGTCACGGTGAGTTTGGAAGTATATGCAAATTCAAGTAAACTTTCCATTCCAATTCTAAATGCAAAAGAACAAATCTATTATTTTATGGTTTCATGGTACCATAACAGATTTAATCTAACTACAAAAAGAACACACAAAAATTTTTTTCGAAAGCCGCAATACTTGATGGAAATACTTATAAATAGGCCAAAGTTCTCAAAACAATCCCCGATAAATTGGTCGGGATTGGTAACATTGGTGATGCACAATCATAGGAAAACATCAAGCTTTTATAGTTACAATGCTAGAATTTAGAAAAAAACATAAATCAAGCGCAGATTCAGAACCCATAGTGTAAACAACATGGGTCTTATATGAAAGACAATAAAACTAATTTCATGAATGGCATTCAATTTGAAAATTATGAATAGATATGGGGTCTAGTATAGTTTAGTACCACAAGTACTTCGTGGGCGTAGCATAACGATTTTTGCATATGTTATTCCTAACCCTCATATGACCATGCCATCCAAAAATTACCTCACTACGACGTCACCATCACGTCATAGGGATTGCCAAAGTATAATTACGATCGCCCAAAATGGCATCTGCGCCGCCGATAAGAACTTGCTAAAGCCGACGATCTATCTCTCTCCTATCGTGATCGTTGCGAAGAGAAAACGAGAGAAATAGCTTGCTCGATTTCGGGTTATCGTCTGCGCGTTTTGGACGACCATTCGCATACTTCGGTGGGCCTTATCACGCCACTGTGACGTCGGAATGACGTAATTTATCGGTGACGTAGTCAGGTGGGGGTTAGGATTGACATATGCAAAAATTGTTGAGTCAGGCCAACTAGAAGTGGATGTGGTACTAAACTATACCAGACCCTAGATATGCTCTATCTTCTAATAGATAGTTAATAAATATATCAAACAAGTACTGTCTGTAATAACTAATAGGTTTTTCAATTTAAACAAAGTAAGATGAATATGATATGAAAATAAACACTAAGACACAAGAAAACTACTAACTTGCTTATACTGCTCAATTCCAAAACAATATTATGAGAAACGTTCGCTGGATCTGTAATAATTCTATTAAAATAGGAACTGCATGATGCCAAGATAGCTTTATGTGCCTTGAATTCTGCATCCTGAAAATAAACAAAACATTTGGTTCTCAGAATTTTACATTTTAACAAACATTTTCATGTGAATATTTTTAGTAAGAATTCAGTTTATTCTGTAGCATTTCAGAAACTTAGCATAGCTTAGATATTGGCAGAGCAAATAGTAATCTGATAATATCATGGACACTTGAAGATTCTGAAATAAAAAAATTTGACTGATTTCTCTCCCAGATATTTTTTTAACAAACTGAAGTGAATAGATTTGTGACTATCAGACCGAGCAACTATAATACCAGTTTCATCAATTCAACTGAAATCAATGGCACCAAATTTAAATAAATCACCATAGAAAATTGTATATATATGGTCATGCTTTTTTGATAAGCACTTCATTCTGGTAGTCCATAGCACATGAATATACCACTATCAAGTCAAAATTGAAGCTTTAGCAATAAAACAGATAACTTGACCAGTGACCATATCAAGTGATTGATCTTCCATTAGCAATAATTCAACATTAATAAAAAGCTTAATGTATATGCAATTGTTCAATAAAAGATTGGATTACATGGCTCGCAAAATAGACATGAGAAAAATTTCTATATATAAGAGAAAGATAATTCACTCAATCTCTTTAAACATCACCGATTTTTTGCTTAATTTCGCTTAATTCGGAATTTTGACTATCAGTTTTAAATAGTAGCACACTACTGGTGCAGGGAAAACATGGATATCTGTAAAGCCACATTTCATTATCCTGAATTGAATCAAAAGTAATATATTTCTAAACAGTCTATTTTTAGCCGAATCGAAAATAAGCTCAATTTTACAGTGTAAAATCACTATGCCACACAAATATATATGATAAGGTTTAGAAGAAAAAAAAAACAGAAATTTTGAACTTTTTTATGAATAAAATAATTCTGAATTCACTTTATTGAAGTCTATTTGGACATTCCTTGCAATATGCACCTTACTGAACGAAGGTTGAATGAAATATATTAATTCCTTTAATAAATACAAATGGGTGTTGAGTAGTTTCCACCAGTAATGGAGAAATATGTCTTGCATCAAATCATATTAAAATTAAATTGATATATATGATTGCATTTTAATAATTGAGATTACATCTGTCCTATTATAGAGTTTGAATGTTGGTATTACACTCAGATGGAAAAAGTAAAAGAAAACAGAAGTGATAGCCATCTTCCATTAAAAACTAAAGAAGCAGAAGCAAAACTAGCTTAATCATGTTTTTGAAAGAATTCGACGAATAACAATAAGAGATGTCTACTGTCTGACTGTATGGAACAATACCATTACTAGAACTAGAGCAATATTTCTTCACTAAACACGAGTGAGGCACACTATGAACTATAATACCACAATACAAACCTTTTTAAAACTTTTAAACAATGCTCCTGATCTAATAATTTGACATACCTGAACCATGATTGATATATCACATAATAATCCACATTTTCTCTGTTCATTCAGCGTTATCAAGACATTTCCAATATGAATATTTGATTCATACACATAAGCTGGCGGTAAATCGCAATGCATGGCACCTAAAACACAGACAGAAAATAAACTTAATACAGCAGTATGTATCAAAAGTACGGGTATGTATTACCAAATATATCATAATGGGCGCTCCAGAAGTATGTGTACAAATATGGAGGTAACTAATTTTGTTCGCCTATTTTACATCAAGTTGTGTAAAGGGACTCAAACCTCAAGGGGGATACTCACTTGCTAACACAGCCAGTCCCCAAACTGGTAATAGAACTAAAATAAGGAAATTCGAAATAAAATTTTGGCCTAACCCTAAGCTGGTACACATACTACGGGAGTACCTCATAATGGATCATTCAGAAACTCCAACCAAAACAAATGTACAGAAATGAAATCATTTACAACAATAGCTCAATAACAATTACACAACAAAGTGAGTGACGGAAACTACTGTAAATATACTTTCTGCTTTTCTCAGCATATTTATATAGACTTGTTGGCTGTAAAGGGTGTTCAAAATTAACTGTAATTTTGCAATATTCAATCAAGGATGTCCAAAAATAACACTACTATTCCGAGCAGATTCTAAAACGATACTCTTAATAAAGAATATCGAACATTATTCTAAATTGAGCTGAACTAAAACACATAGAGGTCACTGTACATTGAATTTAAAAGTTAGAATGGCCATGTCATACGGTAATTCTATTCTAAGAGTAGTTATAAGCAGCTGAGCGAAACTTGTGGGTTTGAATTTTAACAGGGAAAACATTACCTTATTTAGATTGATGAAAATAATATGTTTCAGGAATTTGCACTATTCTATAATTTAAGATTTTATACGGTAATATCAAATCATAAAAAAAGAATCCAGTACCTGCCATCTTCAATAATGGAAGATTTTATACGGTAATATCAAATCATAAAAAAAGAATCCAGTACCTGCCATCTTCAATAATGGAAGTTCAGATCAAATCCTTATATCCTTCTCTGTAGTCAAAATCTATCTTCGAGTTAATCCATAAATACTATTCTATAGTATCAATATGAGTACAATTCTGAATTAAATTAAAGAAGATAGGTATGGATGTGTTTCTGTTTACACCGATATGCATAAATTAGACAACCACTTGGTGCTTGTGTTTCAATTACCGTATATGCTCGTTTCACCGCCCGATCTTGATTAAGGGCACGTTTGAATAGCCGCCCGTGTGAACGGAACATAAAAATAAATAAGGGCCGGTGCTTGAATACCCGCCAGATGTAAAAGCTGATTTTTCAGTGGTATAGAACAATAGGAAATAAGAAGCGCTTTTGTCACACTCACAACGCTGTTGAATTTTAAGCGCTGGTAGATAACACTCACGCCTTAGGCGTCCAAGTACATAACAGATAGCATTGATTACGTAACACCATGGTTCTCAAACTCGTTTCAATTTTGATAGGGCATCGCAAAACTTTTCTTCTTTTGCGAATTTGTACCTGCGGTGCGTAGAAAAAGTCAAAATTTTCGTTATTCTCGTTTAAACCATACTTGAGAACTGGAAATAACAATATATTAATTATTGTAACGATCGAAAATAACAAGCGCCCATGCTTGAATAAGGGCCGGTTTGAATAAGGGCCCGGTTAGTGAGATGGTTGAAAAAATATGGGCCCGGGCTACAAAACGAGCAAATACGGTAATTTGAAATCCAAAGTGATGAATAATGGATTTAGTTCACTCAAGAAAAATTTGGTGAGTTACTGGTGGTCCTTTGGTATGTTATCCTAGCGGTTGTGTGATCTCAGTAATATTAGTTATGGTTAAGAACTGAAATCTTTGAGAATGACTTTAAGCTTTATCTATTTATATGTCTTTACTCTGTTTGAATGGATATATCATCTCAAAATTACAAGTGGGTAGATTAACTAACTACCATAATTGAGTCTTCAATAATGAATAATTTTTGAGGGGGTCACAAGCGTTTGTATAAAACCCTTTTTAGTTATATTTCAGACCTTTTATGGGTCTTGTTGATTTCCTGAAATTATTGCAAGTTATCCCCTATTATTGCAATTCATCTGAAGTCTATAATACTTCTATAAAATTTTCAATAAATTTCTCCAGAGCTGTTTTGATTTCCTTCCCTCTCATAACTGCATTATTGGACACAAATTGGACCTATGGATCATTTTGTTAAATTATTGTTGTTGTTAGTAATATTGGTATTTTTTCTTCCTTTTGTTGTTATAAAAAATTGTTTTTCTCTATAAATATAGAATCAATTGCTTTGAAATTTTTAGTGGTTAAAGATTGTTGTCGCTGGAAGTCTTTATTACTTATATTAATTTCAAAAACTTATGTGGAATCTATAAGATACATTTTTCACTTCAAAGTTTTGTGTGATGACGTCATCAAAAAAAGCACGTTTTCATTAAACTGCCTTATGCCACCGGGTGACAGAATGTGTTTACTATTTATCAATGGCCAATCTGAAAACAACTAATAATCAGAATTCAGAAGTATCTCAAGTGCGACACCAGTGGGGCGATGCTCAAGGTGTTATGTGAAAATGGTCATTTGAAGATAATAGGGTAACTTACGTTATAATATACATCACCTATAGCAGCGGTTCCGAAAGGGTGCGACGTGACAAATTCGTCACAAAAATTAACAAAATTTGTTTAAACATAACTAACATATAACTGAATATTTTACATATTGTATTTATTATAAATGTTCTATTTATTTTTATTTTAAATGATGTGTATATGAATTAATAAATTCATTCTACCTTTCTATGTCGTTTACTTTCTGTTACATGGTATTTACCTCTATTGTTACGTAACAATAGAGATAGCTACTGCTTGCTGCAATAACGCGAGCTGCAGTTTATTTATAAGCTGAACAGTATTTAGCGAACATGAGTGATTTGTTTTGCATTTCAAAGAAAAATCAGGCAGAGATGGGGAAGAAAAGTTGACCATCTGCCTTTATTCCTCAGTCTGTCAGGCCTACATGTTTACAAACTTCAATAGAATAAAGTACATATTAACAATCACAAAATTGAGTTTTACTTAAAAGCATTTTTTGGTGTAAGTGTGACGTGAGTGTTTTTCCCTAATAAATTGGCGTCGCATGAAAAAAAAGTTTGGGAACCGCTGACCTATAGTATTGACGAATACTGGAATAAGTTAAAGTAACCGACTAGAATTATCTGCCAGTTAGGAGTTGAATGAACATATGAAGTATTGGTCTGAATAGAAACTTCAAATAACAATTTTTGAAATGGTTGGATTTTTAACTGTCTCCCAGTATCCTCTCAACTTTTTCTAGATTTTCTCCAGTTTAGATTTCTAGTTAAGACAAAAAAACTAATATGCAGAATCAACAATCTGACAATGAATTTCAATGAAGTGAAATATCTTATGACTTGATTCTTCATGGGAAAAACCTTGAAGATCTATTCACAGTTGCAAATTCAGGGAACTCTCTCTGTCTCGAAACTCTAAAGGCTGAAATGCCGTACTGTGTTAATAAATTTGGATTCAGAGATTCATCTATAATTAATCTGTCATACCACATTCTGCCATTTAAATCAGGGTATTCAAGTATTGCTTTCTTGTTTCCGAAATTAGGTTCAGTCAATACAGAAAGTACCTAGGCTAGATCAATATTTTTGTCTCAGAAGACCAAGGTCACTCTAGTCCAGAATTTCATAGAAGTCAGAAGGTTAATCATGCATATATTTATAAAAATAAGAAAGCAAAATCTGAAAAATTGTGGGCTGGCGTACAGGCGCAACCCTGCTTTACAACAAAATGCAAATGCCAGAATGCCATTGTCCTGTTGTCAGCACATGCAGACATGACTTAATTAGCCTATTTCCTAGATAGGATTTTACATATTTATCCTAACGGCCTCTCGTCTGGTTACCATTCCATGTCGGGTATGGGATTCAGTAGTTACAGAGTTACGGTATTTGCTTTCGGAAGCATGGACTCGATGGTAGAGAAAGCCGTAACCTGCCGATTAGTGGAAAACTTGAATACCGTAACCTCCTGAATAACTTCTTTTCACTTTTTAGATAATGTGAAGAACAGCTCTGAAAATAACTTCACGAAACAAAACTTCTTGAACTGAAATAGAACCTGTGATACCGGTACTTGCGAAATTGTGAAGTGGAACCAATTCTTGCCGCGAGGAAGGCCTGTTGTTCTAAATACAATATAATGATATAATCCAATACAATTTTATTTCTGATGTCCGGATTAACACTAGATGTCGATGGAGCGCAGGAAAATCAACCTTAGATTTTTGGACGTCAGTGGACAACAATTACTAATTTTACATGTGTATATTATCCTCAAGTTAATTGAAAAGTACATTGTGTGATGTGTCTTGGGTATTACTAAATCAACAGTAGACAGAAATATTACAGTTTATTATAGGACAAAATAAGACATCAGTATAGATAGAGGCACGGGTCGCGTGACTTTGTTTACTGGACGGCAAAAAAAACAAAACGTCCATTTGGCTCCTGTCAGTTGCAAGTCGGATTATACGTTCCCGTTTTGTTTGGCTGTTGAAAATGGTTATTTCGTATTGTTCCGCTGGCTGTACGTATAGTATAGACCAGTGGTTCCCAAACTTTTTGTACCATCGCCCCCTATAGTAGTTTATACAACTTCATCGCCCCCCGGCACTGCAAAAAAAATTGAAAGTCTGAAACGAATATATTACAGACCAAATAAGGAGACAAATCATAGTTTATAGGGTTTTTTAGTGAGATGGATGAGCTTGGTGTTTTTCAGCGAGTTTTTCATTACATCTAAAATTACCCCGTTTACTGATGGAAAGGCGATTTAGTTGTTTTGATAGCAATAGCAGCACGGCTAAAAACCCCTCTTTCACCATATCAGAGGTCGGAAATGAAGAATTCAGGGTTCTACCTCTTCAAAAACCGCCGTGTACTCTTGCATTTAATTCCGTAAATTTACCCCATTTCACATTGAAATAATGAAAACAAAATTAATTTTCCAAAACTTATAATAATGATTTTCGTAAATCTTATTCATCCCTGCAGCCTGATGACCTTCACCAAAATACATGATATATATATATATATATATATAACGGTCTCCGGTAAAATTCATCCCCGATTCCTCATCCTACCACGTCCTCCAGTCCGATCACTCTATAGAATTAATCAGCCATTTGTTTTGGATTCGTGGACTCGGATGGCCTAGGGGTCGGTAAATTTTAAGTCGCTCGAGGGACAAAATTTAGGGTAGCTATTCTTTTGCGGATCGCATATATTTTTTGAAAGTTAAAAACGGAACATCGTGCGAAAACTGCGACAATTCGTGAACTCAACTGAGTCGTCGTATTAAAAAAAATATTACAATGACATTCAATGTGACACTGACTTGTTGCTGCATCACGCTTGATAGGATCACGACGCCAAGATTGGAAGATTTTCTAAATGGGCATCACTAATCCTAGTTTTTTGCTTGTTCTTTGTAATGTTCATTTTCGAAAATAATTGTTCGCACAGATATGTACTTCCAAACATTGAGGTGAATATTTTCGCATGGTTTGTGAAATTTTGATAAAGATTTTCTTCAAGAAGATACATTCTTACAAAAATTAAGCCGTGGTGAATCTCTCGAATAGAATATGAATTTTTTTCCTTATTGCATTGCAATATATTCGAATATTTACTGCGCTATTGAACCCCTGCACTCAGCATAAACTTTTCTGCGTGTTTCCATTTGTCTAATTATAATTAAATTGTAGGCTCGTTAAACGAGTAGCAATATAATTTTTGGGATATAATAAAATTTAGTCTAAACGTGTCTCACGATAAATTCTGTTACGTAAAAAAATGTAATTTACTTCTCGAGCGTAGATAATAAATAAAATTAATTCATCGTTAAAACCGCCGTTTGGACGTTCCCCTGGCATAGACCTCCTTGCTTACTTTGTGACATTGTCCAATCAGCAAGATGCCACTTTCGCATCCACGCAGACACTTTCCTCACTCAAACAGACTTCCCGATGTGGTCGTGAACATTACCTCATTTTCGCAATTTTAAATTATATTCGTTAGTTTTTAGTTGTTTTTCGGAAATTTAAATAAAATAAGTCAATGATCGTCTTGTCCTCCTAGGAGTTCCAGTTTAATTACAGTAATCAATAATTAGTGTAGAAATAGCTGTGATCGACTAGGCTAAAATTCTTAACCGGTACTCCCAAAAAACAGATTGTTGAATGGTATGAATTAGAATGATAGTTTGAAACAAATACTTCATTTTATAGGCAACGCAAAACCCCTCCTAAAATAAGCACCGAAAATTTTAGAATTGTAAAGTATGGGAAGAATTTTTCGGGGTCAAAGGTCGGAGAAAGGTCCATTCAGTGAAGCGTCCCGGGCCAGATTACTACAGATTTCCCGACCACTGGGATACGCAAACTACCATACCTCACTGCGAAGACGAGTCCAGCAATCCTTTCGCGTGAGACATCACCCACGTGATTCAAACCCGCGAAAGCATGCAGAGTACAGTAATCAAGTGCACGAGGCGCCAAGCATTAAACAGGTTTCGCGAAATCGCCCCCTTCGACTTTTTCGCCCCCCTCTGTATCGTTTTCGCCCACCGGGGGGCGATATCGCCCACTTTGGGAATCATTGGACTATAGAGAACTTGCACGGGTCACGTGACTTTGTTACTGGACGGCAATAAAACAAAAACGTCCATTTGGCTCCTGTCAGTTGCAAGTCGGATTATACGTTTCCGTTCTGTTTGGCTGTTGAAAATGGTTATTTCGTATTGTTCCGTTGGCTGTACGTATAGTATATAGACAACGAAATGGATCTTCAGTTATATTTCACTGTTTTCAAAAGATCCGGAACGTCGCGTAATGTGGATATCATCTATTGGCAGGACTGCTTGGTGTCAAGTCCAAAAGTCATCTCGCTTGTTTCTCACTGTTTGCGGACAGCACTTCGTTGATGGTGAGTGATAATGTGCCGTTATCAATTTCTTTAAATAGTCATAAGCTCCCTCATTTCAATGGAAAGCAGATGACAAAATACTGTTATGTAGTACTGTAGTATTTACGCTGTTATTGGTAGGCGTAGGCGATTTCATTTTTATTTCAAAATGTCCGCTCCTTTGTTTAATAAATTTTGCGCACCTTATAAATATTCAAAGCATTTCCACTTAAATATTTATTTATCCCTATTCCATGTTCAGTCCGGTCCCACAGGACGCATTGACATTCCGCCATTGTCAAAACAACTCACCAAAATATAAATATTGAGGAAGTTGGTTGCCATTTACTAAATAATTAGACGAGATGGTGAATTTCGATCGATGCTTATTTTAAATCCAATTTAACTGCTTGTTTGTATGTTTTTTAAAAAAAAATTAGAAGTGTAAAGATTTAATAACTTTATCATGTGAATTCCTTAGGTCCCACAATTCCTAGCGCCGGCCCTAACTGCCTAATATTCCCAGTCTAACCACAACAAGAAATACACTGTTCTTCAAAGGGACAATTTTCATGTATAATAACACGGCCTAACATAAAATAACTTTAAAAATCAAACCCCCACTAGTCAATAGTTGGTGCTCCCGAAGTATGCGAACCAAGATGGCGGACATCGGAACGTAACATGGGTAACAGGTTAGGGTTAGGCGATATTTTTTTTCCAATTTTCCTTATTTTAATCCTATCATCAGTTCGAAGACTAGCCAAGAGCCTCCCGTAGTATTTATACCTAAAATTATGGCCTAACCCTAACCTAGTACACATATTACATTCCGATGTCCGCCATCTTGGTTCGCATACTTCGGGAGCCCCCAATAGTTTTTCCTACATAACAATGTTCATTTACACAAGCAATCGTTTGTTTCATTCCTATTTTTCTCTTTCTTTTATCTCACATTTTGTTGTGTAGGGTGACCCGAAAAAAGCAGAACCCATTATTGCTGCTTCAATGCAGCTACAAGGTGTCGCTGACTGGATGACTCTTTGAGTCTTTCGCGATCCCTCGTCTATTGCAACAAGCCGATATCCGTCTTCGTAATTTGTTATATGTCTTTTTTTATTTTTTCATATCGTATATTGGTTTTGCATGACGAAAATAAAATCTGAATCTGAATCATTAATTTATTAATTACTTCTAGATAAATGAGAAAAATTTATTTAAGCCTGTACTTCTGTTTGTGTATGATTGTACCTTTTTTCAGTATTCTAGTTGCTAAACAGTTCCCTGCGCAATCTGTTCCAAATGGCTTGCATCCGCTGCACATAATTGACAATCCCTTGGCAGTTGGCAGTTAAAATGACAACTTCCTCTGAATTTGGTATGCTCCCGTGTTTAATACTTTTTATTTATTTATTCATTTTACGGTTGTTCGTTTATTACTTTACTGCGACTTGTACATTTTGATAACTTTCCATTATCCTACCATACGCTTTTTCAGTATATACGAAGAAAATGTTTGAGCTGTATATACATCCTTTTATATTCTCGTGTATTAAAAAGGTGACAATATTTCATATACTATTCTTTGTTTGTGAGGAAACATAAAAAACCAAAATACCTAGAATCTAAATATTATATAGCAGTATACGTTGCCAAAAATACATTGTCAAGAGGTGATAAGTGATCACATTTAGCTCATGAAACAAACATAATCTTAGATGTCAAACCCAGGCGTTGCTTTTGTTTGAAATTGATGACTTTGAATCTGTAAAATGAAGTATAAATTTAGGATGATAACATGAAAATTTAGCAGGCATTTATTACAATACCAATGCAGATTAGGCATCGCTGCGATTATTACATGAGCGCAAAAGGTTATAAATTTTCATCTTCGTGAAACTTGATTATCTTAGTTGTGATCAGATTATATAAAAGACCTATTTTTGAAATTTTCAATCCTTTCGTGGTTGCTCCCATTTCGTCTTGTAGTCGTTTTAGTTCATCTGCATTCAAAAATGTGATATCCTGTGCCATGTCTCTCGTCCAATTTCCAATAGTTTTTCTTCCTGTCAAGCGTATACCTAGCAAAACGTTACCACAAATTACATTCCATTTCATCAAGTGGTGTAAAAATAAATATCAAAGCGATACACTCATGTTTGACAATTAGTTTTAGATTTTTCCTACACTCACAGCAGCAGGTCAAAATAACTCAGGATCAAGCCACAAAAATTATAGTAGGGGTAATTTTATTTGTGTTTTCTGCAGTTATTCAGGCGGATATACCAATCTACATTCTAATGGTATTGTTATATTTTGCAGGTGCAATAAATTTAGGAAGATCATTAAAACATCTCCCGTGAACACGTCCGAAAAAAATAAGCTAAAAATACATGGAAAATATTCAAGTTATTAACGATACGCCAATGTTCGTTTTCACAGATTGATATATAAGTCTAGAATAAATGACGTTACTCACTAGAATGGGTTTCGATATTATTTACTTCAAATGAATCTTCTTCTGTGATATCTAGAAATAAATGCGAAAGACGTGTAAAAGTTTTATGTCATGCTTCCGAAATATTTAGTTTCGTTTTTGTGAAACATTGTGCTCACCAACGTGTTGGTCGGTATTTATGTAATGTTTCTGATGAACCAAAAATACAAAATACAAGTGATCAAAAAATAAAAATTGAGACCTAAAACATACAACAAGCCAGCTAATGGGATCTCATCTCAACAACGTTAAGATATATATATATATATACAAAGATAAATAATTCTCGGATTTTGAACAGAAAATAGCAAATTTACTGAAATAGAAAATACCTTGCAGTTCTAATTTCAATGCATGTAAGCTTTCTTCTAATGGCGACCGTATTTCGCTTGTTTCGTCGCCGGACTCTTCTTCTATTCTTGTTAGCGTAGTGAACGATGTAAACCCTGCTACTGTACTTGTCATAGCGAAGGCACCTGATTAAAACGTTTCATTCACAAATTTGGGGAAATTAGGATTCTATTAGGAATGACAAAAATTGTAGTGGAACATAACTTTGATTTTTATGTTTTAGACTACGTCCCACTTGGTGTACAAATTGAAGCAAGCTAATACTTCCGTCAAAACGCGTTGAATGACATGAATTGCATGATATCATGACAGAGTACAAAATATTTAGAATTGCAATAAACTTTATCTGATTGATTTGCAACATTAAGCCAATCGATATTTACTGCTTGCGATGTTAAACTTCACATATAATTTTATAGTTAGATTCATAGGCCATTACTAAAGGTACAGCAACATCTGTTTATCTTAAATAACTTGTTTGTTTCGTTTGGATTATATAGTAAACAAATTACAAACGGCAATTCCAGTCGTTTTTATTTCTGTCTTGCTCCGTGTTCAATAACTGTTCTTTCTATGAATGAACCCATTTCAAAAATATTGTTTGTTTTATTCACTCAATATTCATATAAAAAATACAAGGAAACACAGACACATGTGCTTATTGAAATTTTCCGAAACTTATGCCGAGAAGTCTCAAATGATTTTCAATGTCTGATTAAGATCATCATTGGAAAGGAAAAAAATGATAGCGTGATGTTGAATTAAAGTTTCACTGTATAATGACATTCAATAACATGCAAAATTACTTTCTCATTATAGAATTATGCTAGTGATTCAAGCATCAACTCTTTATTCAAGTAGTTTGTCATATGAAAAGGGAGAAATACTATTACAGCCTTTATTACGACAGATAGATTGAGATTTTCATACTTGATAAAGAATTTTTTTCCCTTCCTTTACTACTTGTTAGCTTTTGGATGGGACGAGACAGTTCTGTACTGCGTATTGAGCTGCTGCCAACAACCTCCTTCTATAATAGGGGAAAAAACAGTTCCAGGTATCGTTATGTTTCGCAGCTGTCATTTCCTCACTAGCGTGGACTACTGACATTGGACTTCATAATGCAAGCATTAGTACTTGACCAACGAAAATCAGAAATTTTTTATAACGAGTTAACAAGCATGTTACTCATCAAATTGTCGTATGATATATATCTAATCTTCTAATGTAGCCTATATGTTTCAATTTTTTAAATAATGGGTGAAATAAATTGATCTCTTTTATAAATCTAATATTGTACCTTTGGTTTCTCTTCATTTCCCACAGCTATTTCATCACTGTATATTGCGTTTGATACTTCAACCATGACAGCAGAAATAACATTTAGAACAACCATTTGCATCATCGCATAAAATAGAACAAAATACGTAGATGCCCAAGGTGACACTTCGACCATAATGTAATCCATGACCTGGGAAAGACGATAATCATTGCACGAAAATCTTTCCATCGATATCGCAATAGAAGATTGCGTTCCGACAGATTTTTCTAATTGCAGTACATAAACTCATCAAACATGTGAACTGCACAGCTGGTCCTAATGATATATAATTATATTGGAGGCCTACTTAAAATATTCTATGTCAAGTTACCCGGTGCCAACTAGATCCAAGGCTTATCTGAAAAAGTGTCAACAAAGAGCATCCAAGAGATTCGAACCCATATCTACATAACGACAATGCTTTTGGTAATTCACGATGTCCGTGTTCTTTCTCTAAGTCTACAAAAACATCGTTAAATGTATTAATATGCGCTCTGAATAAATTTGAATTTAAAGTGATATTTTAAACGATGCGTTCTTGCTGCATATGTCGTATTTTATTAATTTGCTTATTTTTTGTAACCAATCTTCCTCATTTTTGATGCCTTACATCCAAACCATTCCATTCCGATAATTCCATACGAGTAAAATCCAACAGTAATAAGACACAGTAACGTACACAATGGTGGAGTGATTCGTCGGAGCCAATGTGACAATGTGCTTGTCCCTCTGTGAAGAGTATAAAAATGTATCATAGTTATGTAGCCTACAATAAAACATTATGACGTAGTTTCTGGGTTGCAGAATATATTATGTCTATGTGATTTTCAGGGATTACGATTTCACAATATACGGTATATGATACGTCCCATGTAATCCAATGATAATCCAAACACCATTTATCGCAATTTATTATAAATCAAAACGTATTTACGAGTGTATTCAAGATCGTGTTTTTTGAGTTAGTAATGCCTCAGTGCAGCGATACAAAATATAGTTTACAACTTTTAACTTGCTTGACACAGAGTCTTGCGTCACACCACGGAGAAAAGATTCCAATAAACGTACAAACCCTCTAATGCTTATCAGTCGCAAAATCACTGCAGCATGCGTGGCAAGTGCCGCCCAACCCTTGGCTGCTTTGCTTGCTTTTCCAGTAAATAGAATGTATAACATGAAGGCTGTTGCTATCATGGCCATGATTACATGGAGAATCATTTCGTTTTTCAATTCCGCTGCTATTAGCTGAAAATGAAAATGAAGCGTCGCATATAACCAAATAGCAATTAATTATTCTGGGATGCATATATATTATAAATGCATTTTTTGCGTTGTGCCCATTGATAAATGTACTTTGGGAAAGATCTAATTTTCGTAATAATACTGAGGGAAAAAAATTAGTCGACTTGTTTCATTTTTGGCAAGTTCAGAATATTGCCCTGGCTTTTATTCCTTGTCTTTAGCTCTTGTTTTTGTAGTCATGTCTTATTGAATTTCTGAAGGATTTTCAAAGGAAAATTTATATCGACCACAATATCAGTAAAAATATGGATGCGGCGGTTATGCAGTGATTGTAAACAAGTCTCATTAGACCTTCAGTATTTTTTTTTTGTTTCAACCTTTTTACTTCATTATCTGGCATGATTATCTGTGACCTCACTGGCCTGCTAACCATAGACGACTGAACGAACTAAATGCAAGTAATACTTCGGTATATAGACAAGAGTTTGTAATCATCGGACGACTGATGACTGACTGTATCCTAAATACAGAGAAAACTCTAGGTGGCCAAACGTTGCAAAACTTACACGTAAAACCACGTCCACCAAAATTAAAATAAGTGTGATAAATTCCATCGTATAAAGCAACTTAGCAGTAGTTGGTGTCATTCCCCACCAGACGAGTGCAAATGGTAACAGGAAGAAAACGTTGAGGAAGATAGATACATAGTAACCTATTGAACTTGATTTCCATTGTTTTGCTATTCTAAACAAAGCCTATCAAAAGAACAAATTAACACTTATTGAATTGCCTAAAAAATATTTTGTTTTGCTATATTTCCAAGTAGCTTGATTAACGATAACTAGTCAAAGTCAATCTAGTATTCAAGATTTTTGTATTATTTACATGATAAATTTTTCAAAAATGATGTAAATGGTAAATTCAGCTACCCAGCAGAATTGTTATTAATGAAATAATCCACAGGTACAATGTGATAGCAACCAAAGTTGATTATCGAATAAAAATGAAGCGTATAACTAAGGTTCTTACCGAACACACCTTTCTTGAATTTTCGTTGGATTCGTCTTTTTTAATTTCGACTGTCAACTACGCACAAATAAATAATTAGGCTACAATGGTATGAAATCAACAATTGATGATTAAATATATATCCTACAGTAATAATTATTAGATGTATTTTTTCTCAACTCAAAACAAGAGCAAAAGGCTCAAATATATGGTCACGAATGCCGAAACGAAGTGGTACCGATACCAAATCACTTGCGCTACATCATCGGTCCTCCCAACTTGAACTGGTCACTAGATCGCTGAACTGTCACGCGGTGTTCAGCTTTTAATTTTGATGACGTCATCACACAAAACTTCGAAGTCGAAAAAGAACCCGATAGAGCTCACAGAAGGTTTTGAAATAAATAAAAGTAATCGCATTCTGGCGACAACACAACCTTTAACCACTGAAAATTATAAAGCAACGCGTCTAGTAGTTGAAGAGGCGATTATTTGAGACCAACAACATAATAACAAAGGTCCATTTTGTGTTCAAAAATGTCGACATCAAATTGGTATTAAATACATTATCAAGCAAAGGACTGAAGTAACCAAATTCTCAATCATTGTTTAAAATTTTATTGGGAACAATGTCAGGGTATGTATAAAATAAACAAACTCTTACTTGCAAGACTTCCAGCAAATGAAAAAATTGGAACAAAGATAATTTATCCGAAGCATGTATATTTTTGGAATATGAATCCTCTTTTGAAATTTCTTTTAATTTATTGAACCGTTTCAATGCTTCTAATTCTCCAGCTTTCGGGCGTAAACACTTGAACAAACTGAAAATTAAAATTTGATAAACTTGAAGTATGTGAATCAATAATCAATGAGAGGAATAAATTACACTCTGCGTAGTATGCTCTGATCAACTTTCCCCGAAAATAAGACAGTGTCTTATTTCAATTTTCTGTCGAAGAATAACACTAGGGATTATTTTTGGAGGATGTCCTTTATTTTCATTTATCAAAAACAAAATTATAAAGTAGAGATTTACGAGATTTCAAATAAACAGAATATAAAAACCGATATCCTGATAAACAACACGTTTTTATCCAAAAATAAAACCTGCTAAACATAGATTATTAATCATTTAAAACGTGTAGGAGAGATTTCTCGCTATCAACTAGGTCAATGAAAATTTCGCTATCGACTAGGTTTTATTTCAAAAAGAAGGGCTTATATTAGAATCATTTTTAAAATTCAGGCTAGGTCCTATTTTCGGGGAAACGCGGTAGTTTGAAGAATTAAAATTTTATAGACATTTCAATTCCCTATTTTTGATGTTTTAAAATAAATGATTGTACACAAGATTTCAAAGTGCAGTGTAAATTTTATCAGTAATAGAGAATAAATGTGGAAACTAAGGAAAACAAAACATGCGATGAAAAATTTAAAAGAAAGTCTTTGGGAAAAGGATTTGAAAACTCATGTCAAAGAAAATTATCCACTTTGCTTGGATCTAGATAAAATAGGTGTAGAATAAAAAACGAACCTTTCCCATTGTTTATATGATACGAAACCATTCTTATTGACATCCAAAGCTTCAAACGCTTTTATTAGACATTGTCTTTCTTGGAATCGCTCTTTTTTGACAAATTTCTTGTTTGCTTTAACGTAGAAATCAAATATTCTAGCAACGAGTATACCATAGAGAATAAGCTGAAAAGTGTTAGACAAGGTAATTATATTGGTCAAATGGTTATCAAGATACAATTGTCTTTTAATTTGATTGTGTACGCTGATAATATCCGTGAATGTGTATTAAATGGATTGGTGATGGCTGCAAAAAAACAGGTCTTAATAAAGCTAGATATGGTTTCATTTCTAATAATCACGAGTCGCGATTTATCTGCTTACTGAAAAGTTATATCGAAATGAATGGATACTCTCCTGTGATCCTGAGTGCCATCGAGTGTAATGTTGAAGTTGTCTTATTCATTTCAGGTTTAGACTGGTTGTCACTGATGACGCCACGATTTTCCTTGTATGGTAGACCGAGACTCGGATTTCATAGTAATATTACTATGCGAGAATATTTGCCAACTGTCACAGCCACAAGGTAGTTCGCGTTGTCACTATAAGTGTGTTGGTTTCCCAATTCAATTCCCTCTACACACATGAAACCTTGAGCTGTAGAGCTTTTTTACTGACACAGCCGCTAACCATGCATTCCCTGGTCGAGGTTCGATTTATGATAAACCTTGCTATTGATGTTACAGCCTCACTGAATAACTATGAAATTCATAATTAATTTCATGAGAGAAACATCCCTTGTTTAGAAAGTTTTACATACCTGCCCCGTTAGTATTATCGTAATGAAATACACCAATGCAAGTGGCTTGACTTCATTATATGCAGGAATCATAATGAAAGGATAATTTCCACCTGAAACAACAAGAGCAATTGGCCCGATTTGTTGTCAAAAAGCAAACTTGTAGAAAATCATTTTTGAAATGGATAAAATTGACGGATAAATGAGCGCAGTCAACAGCTAATTCAAATAATTTTTTTTCGGCTAAAGTTGAGGTGTAGCCTATCCTAGCGGGGAAGGTGTACTAATCAAATGGAAATGTATATAAAATATGATATACATATATTTAAGGTCAATCATGTTGTGAAAGAGATGCCCCTAACGGCTACCCACCCTCTTTATGAATTATAACTCCGACGATCGAATACAATTTTCAGCTTAGAATACGAATTGGATTAAGTATTCTCAAATATGGAAAAATGTAGTGCACGGGAAGTTCACCTACCCGTCATTGCAACAAATAGTTGCAGGGTTGCAATTCCTATATTATCGAACGTACTGTCAGTAAAATCATGTTGAAATTCATCACTGTGATCTTCAGTTTTGTCTAAGCAAATAGAAAGAATTTTGTTGCAGGCTGTGGAATGGTATCTTTTTGTCAAGAAAACGAAACGCTGTGATTGCTATTATCATGCCTTTACACCGGTCAATCATTCAATTAATCCATCCGCGCCCGCACGGTAAGAGTGAAGTTATCACACAAGGAAACGCTTAACTGCAGTTGCTTTGGTCGAAACAATTAGCAGAGCGTGGATAAAGGGCATTATCTTGATCGCATTTGCCATTATTCCATATGTTAAACGTTATGGTAAAAGAAGAATATATATATTTAATAGGTACAAATAAAAGTTCAGTCCAGGCCAGTCTGCATTACATTAAAGGCCCAGTCGTATTTTAAACAAAGCGTCGTATATCAGTCCAAGTCATTTAAATGGAACTGCAATCTCAATACAGGCACGCACACTGAATGCGAGGATTAATGTGAATAAAATTGAAAATCGGTGAATAGCTCAGACTACTGCTATAAACGACAGAAGAGAGGCATTTTTGCAGCGATCATATTTAGATATTTTGTCTCCTCATATTTTACTATTATTAGTTTGATTCTTTGTACGTTTCAATCCTGTTTGGTATAGCAATGGGTGTAAAATTTCCATATCTGTTGCCTAATATCAAATAAGCAAATATAGACCTTCATGTTCGTAATACTGCATGAATAAGTGAACTCCAACAACGGCGAATATTCCAATGTAAGCAACCATGATTGATAAAAATTGGATGAATTTAGGAATAACCCATAGCATAACTAATGTCGTTCTATAAACAAAATAGGAATTATTTGAGGGTTAAATAATTGTAGTAGTATGCTTCTCAGTATTCTTTAAATTGTTTGTAGCATCGAAATAGTTTTTTATTGAGCACGACTAATTTTACCTGATCAACATGACTTAGTACAGGGGCCGGCAACCTACGGCCCGCGGGCCGGATCCGGCCCGCGACGTTTCACTAAATTATATAATAACAAAACATCTGTTTTGACGATTATATTCTTTAGACTAAATTATATTATAATCTTACAATTAAATAATTCACAATTACTTGTTTAATTAATGAGCATATAATTTAATTATAATTAAGCAAATGGCAACAAAACGCAGAAAAGTTGATGCTAAGTGCAAAGGGTTCAATGGCGCTGAAAATATTCAAATGGAATTTTATGAGATGCAATGAGGAAATAAATCTATACTCTATTCGAGAGATGTATCTGCTTGATTTTTATTATAAAAAGTACCATCCGTTCGGTTTTCCAACTTTCTAAAAATATGTGCGGCCCGCCAATGACTTGCAACCTTAATTTTGGCCCGCGAGCGACAAAAGGTTGCCGACCTCTGACTTAGTATATATACTTGAAAAATTTATATTAACAGTTGGAATTCTAAAATGAAAATGAATGAATGAAATCTGTCTAAATTTACTCACCCTCGCAATGTTCGGGTTCTTACCAAAAGTAAAGTTGCTCGTAGAAAACGAAAAATCATCCTTTTAGTGAGAGTGTAAATAATATAGTCAGACGCAAGCAGAAATACCATGATGATATAACTAAAACATACAAAAAATGAAGTAAATCACCATCAAAATGGCATATAAAAACAGGGTATATAAAAAGTAAATTTCTTGATTTTTTCCCCGAAAAATAGAAATAAATTTTGAAATACAGGAAACTGAATTCAACCAGGTTAATGATTCTTGTGTCCACCGTTTCAACGCGGAATGCAACCCGCCATGTAGCCTACAACTACTAACCGTTGCGAAATATTTACTCACCTTATATTATGAATAGACGAGATGAAATTTCGCCTTGATGTGTAGATAATTGACAGACAAATATCGATCGAGTACACAAAAACACTCAATATTCCGGAAATGATTACCCACGTGGGTAAAGAGGGCGAAGCACGATTGATCATCTGGCAAGTGGGCACATAATAAATTGAGTGTGTTTTACAAAAGATAATAATTGTGCATTTTATGCGGACAAAGGGTTATAAATTGAATGATGACAGCAAATCAATCTAGTAACTCTTTTATCGTAAAAAAGCATTCAATAATATTGAATACAAACAACCTGTTCGCCCTATAAAAATAGTTGATATTTAGGTTGATTACTTTATTCACATTTACTATTGTCACTCAAATAATCCTTCCAATAGAATTGGTAAAAGTCTTCATCTATTAACCATTATTTATATTGATCTTTTTCAATTGTATGCGAATTACCCTTGATGAATATTTAGAGAAAATAATGGTGTATGCGTGATAAGTTCGCAAGGTTTAGTCGATATAACACTACGATTCGAAATGAATTCCCGGGTTTTGTTACTTTATTGAAATCCTTTTTTATATTAACACTTTTTATTCACGCAACAAAAAAATATTTGAAAAATTCTCGCTCATGGAATAAAAAAAAATCTGACAAAAATTCAATCTCGCTGTTTTGATTAGAATGCAATATTATAAAAATGGTCATCTATATATATTCGGATGTCTGACTACCTGTAACCTTCATTTTATTATTATGATATTGATTTGGAAGTTATAATTATCTCCGATATCTGATTTTAAATCTCTAGTTATAAAAAAGTGGACCAACCTGGACAGGTTCAAAGAATGCCAGAGCACTGTGTAATGTTATAGTCAATATTAGTCCTATTTCGTAAGGCAAACTTGAGTGAATGTTGAAGCACCTGCAATAATTAAAAAATAGGTATTTGGCCTTGCCAAAAATTAAAAACAAAAATCAGTGGTCTTGTGATTGGTGAAAACATTTTAAATTAATAACTTAGATTTTTTTTTTAAGTCTATACTGAACATATAAACGAATGTTGAAAAAACTGTTTGTTGATATCCATGGTTCGATATAACATAGTTGATAAGTAAAGATAAAATGTTGAACATTAGATCAAGATGTTAGGAGTATCAAGTTTGAATGTTTTAACCAAGTATTAGCAACTGATGGTAGAACCGGTGACGTATTAGCAACTGATGGTAGAACCGGTGACACTCTATTTCAGTAAATAAACTGAAACAGTAAACAGTCGAGCGTCTACATTGAACGGAAAATGACAAAATTTGCAATCATGGTTTTCTGTTGAGAAAATACAATAACTGGACATTCCTAAATATGATTTCGCCTCTCTTGGGGTAAGCAGCGAGTAAAATTCCTGGTTAAAAATTTGTACTTTATGCTTGCAAATTTTATTAAAATATATTATGTGCCTAATTTTGTGTATCTTTAAATGAAAAAATTTGATAATTCGATATCAAAAGTATTAAAGAAATAACGCTGGAGTATTTATTCTCGCCCGCTATTACCCATGGCAGATTTAATATGCTGGATCATTGGAAACTCTCTCAAGTTTTCCTCAGATTAATTCAAAGAACAAAAGACTAAAAATCTAACAAAAAACAAAAGATGACATACTTCAAATGAAACTTTCTGTCTGGCGCTAAATTTCGTGCTAATCCAGATTGATAATATCTTCCTCTAATAGCATCTTCTATGTATGCAGCGCTCATCTTGAACATCATTGCATTTGAACTATAAAAGTATAAATAGGCTACTAGAACCAGAAACATACTTTTGATTGCCAACTTGATGAACATGAAATGAAACCAAGAAAAGTGTGAAATTGTTTTTTTGATATTATGAAATAAAAGTTTTAAACTAAAAATAAAATAATTTGTTGTGTAAATAAGTTGTGATATGCTTACCTATTCGAATTTAAATTATTGCTAGAGTACCCTGCATGGACTAGTTCCGTTTGCAGTTTATGTTTTACCAATGAAATATATACACCGATTTTTCAAGTAAAAATAATTTTTCGGTATACGATTATAGAAAACTCCACTCTCTCCATGCACAGGGTTTGCTTGTAACCAAAAAACTTATTTATTATCTTTCGGAACATGGGGGAATGGCCACAATTCAAAGTCCCTATAAAAAAAATTAAACAAAAATAACAAACAAACTAACCTTGCATCTTTCAAATCAGTTTTATTTCTTTTTAATCGTTTTTTGAAAAACTCATTCATATTTTACTTAATGAAACGTTTGCTACAACTGACTTTATCAACTAAAACATCTATTTTGCTTTTTCTCGCTAATAAACGAGCCGTGGTGATGATATATATTTTGTGTAATCAATATTTTTGATCGATAGTAAAATAAAAAAAATTCTTTCCAAAAATTAATTTTATATTTATCGAAATATTTTTGTTCGGGCTGACTAAGTAAGTCTACAGGTAAGATCAGGGATTCTAATTTTGATTTCAGTCAGAGATATGCGTGAGAACAATGGACTGCACACAATTTACGTATGGAATTGAGGGATGCATGTAGCACATTACGAGGCTTTTAGTATAACCATCAAGAGACAGCTTCAATACGGGGAAGTAAAATAGGGGCATTTCCATGCTTTAGTAGGAGGGAAAATCTCCAAATAAGTGCTAACAAATGTTCATGGCACGTTGTAGTACACCTAATATTTTGTACTCCAATTGCTCTTTATTATGATGTCACTCTTTTCAAGCTCGTGCAGTAGTCAAGCATTGGCACGACTCTGACTTGTCTTTTTGGAAAATCTGATTAACTACATTTATAACTGTCTTACATAATCCCATGGCATGTTTTGTTTAATTGGAAAAAAAAACGTAGAATTTTTTTTGCAACATGATGAACAACTGAAGTCCCATCAGTCGGTACGTCAAGTCTAGTGTCAATCCAAATTCAAAGTCATAAATAAACTCCGGAAGAAGTTTCTCGTCCGGTTGGTTTTGCCATTTCGAAGAATTTGGGAATATTGTGATCCCAAATATATGTTTCACGGATGCACAATTCATCGACCCGACTTTGGGTATCACGATACTTTCATTATTGAGGAGGAATCTTGTTGCGGTTCTTCCTATCAACGAACGGATTCGTAATAAAATATCAACCATGGTCGTGAGCTTCTATGTAGTCACATCTTTATATAACAAGTGTCTGCAATTACGTTTCGTTAGTGACCCATAATGATATTATTCTCAATTATTACTGAGCAGTTTTTTAAAAGAATTGCAAACTTACAACGTAATCGTGTAGTATGACATTTACTATTAATCTAGATACAATCAGGGGTTATCTTCTTCATATTGAGGAAAAAATAGTGAATTTTTGTGTTTTAAAAGAATTATAATTGTTGTACAAAGAGTTTTAAATCGTATCAGTCTAATACTATCCAAATGATTCAAGATATAGTACATTCTTGATTTTTCGAGAAAAGCAACAATTTGAATTTTAAAACAGTCGAAATATTTTCATAATAATATAAGAATAATTCAATTCGTTTATTACCCCAGACCGCTGCGGTCCATATAAAATAACACAAACAAATAAACACGAGCAAATTCAAAAATAGAACAATAAATACACGAAACAGTTGATACGACAATCAGATTCACAGAGTTAATACAGTAACCTAAGAGGCCAAAAGTGAAGTATAGAATTCGAGATAGCCCGTCACAAACAGTATCTGGGAATCAAATAATGAATGTAATAGGTTGTTATTAGAATTCCTGCATCTCATCATAATCAACCACAGATTTTTTTCTTCGGAGTGCTTCCAAAGAGGGAATGTCCCCATCCCCAGATACTATTTTGTGGCGGACACTCACAGAACTATAAACACACTGAATTGCGCGATAAGCATTATTACATAACATTTAAACTTTTTTATATTTATAGTTATTATAAACAACGAGAGCTGGCAATTATAAATACTACAACAATTGGCTACGTGCTAAATAAAAAATTTTTCTCAGTAGTGGAACAATTGAAAAAATTTTCCAGAATAGTATGGGCTATAAAATAAATTGATTTATACTGACATTTCAAGTCAAGGTCATCTTTGAGATCATTGGATAAGAAAACACCAAGATATTTAGTGGACGAAACATATGTCAATACCGAATTACAAAGATTTCTATCAGGCAGATTGACCAGCCTAAACTTTTTATTCTGGATCCACATAGAAACAGGTTTTTTGGAGTTGTAAAAGATGTCATGTTCAATAGAGTATGTTTCGCAAATATTACCTAAACGTTGAAGGCCTTTGGCTGATAGTGAAATGCAACACATGCCATCAGCATAAAAGATATGATTGATAATATTTTTATTTGCTACACATCCAATGTTTTCTTGATTTAACTTAATAGAGAGGTCATCCATTATGGACAGAAAAAGGATCTGACACACTGCTACCCCATCTAACAAACATGGATTGATTACGATACATGTGTACAATCAGCGACAAATTACAAATTTCAGACAAAATTTAATATATTTATCCCATTCGATCGCAAACCTCCCCGCCCAAGCCTAAATCCTTGGGGATTCTCAAACTGGACCTGAGGAAAGATATTTACTATAGGTGCCATGCGAGATGACTACATTAGTTCAAAGTAAATTAACTGCGATTTATTTAATTCTCCGACTTTGACTCGGCGTCCCAAGTCACCTGCTATTGGGAAATATGCTCACTTTTGATTGGAAATTTGGAAACTTTTGGTTTTTTAAAACTGATATTTTGTACACCCTGTACGGAATGACCCTGCTAGCCTGGGAACAGTTTAGAACCAAAAATAACGTTTTATACCAACGTCCTATGTATTCAGGGTTTTGTTTTTTGATTTCTTAAAAAATAGCCTGCTTTGAAAACAAGGGCAAGTTTTACATAACATTTTAAATTTTTCATATTTCATTTCTATAACCCCCGCATCGACGTGAAACTACGGCAAATTGTTCGTTTTGGCAAGTGCACATGCAGCCGGAAAAATTACATTTTAAAATGTAGGAAAAAATTCTCATTGTATCGCTTTATCGCCAAGTTGGTACCTACACCAAAGTTATAAGAATGTTCATTCGAGGAGTGTTTGGTACTCGTATTTGGCCACCCTTTTTCTGCAAGGTTTGCTTCCAGAACGAATGAGTAACGAAACGAACGAATTTTTTTCCAATCGCACGTTGGTGATTGACTTCATTTTTAAATGTTAATTCTGAGTAAATAGTTGTGACCTTTATTTTAATTTTATCATTTCATACAAGTTTAGCCTGTGATTAATGCCAAAATGTTAATTAGCACCGATCCGGGGTTTAATGCTTCGATGATGAATGAAATGATAACAAAATATTAATAATCACTCCATGCTATATCACACGCTTTTAAAATAAGCCTCCACTTCAAAATTAGTCATGCTCAATAAATGTATCGGTTGCGTTCTGTCGACCTGTAGATTATACTGTCGATCAATACAATTCATTGACCGTGTCCATTTCTCAGCGTCCAATAGAACAAAAGGAAACAAGGCGCTTTGGGACGCCATTCGAATTTTAAATAATAAAAATTAATTCGTTATAATCCCACTATATCCAGCATTCAGTTACATACATATTTCTAAGTGTAATATTGATAATAATTATTACATTAATATACCTTGCTGCAGCTCACCGTTGACAGTGATACTTATGTTAAAAAAATAACGATTATATTCGAAAGATTCGGAACCAGTAGGCTACTGAGACCCACCATCACCGAAATAGAGCCAAGATTCAATCTTTTGTGCATAAATACATGCAATCACATCGGTCTCGTTAGAGGTAGCCTATTGTCAAATCACTATTTTTTTTGATATTTCCTTTATTATTAAAACTAACTTCCTGACATTCGCAAAACATTGGCCGTGCCACTTGGGTCGTGATGAAAAAAATTTGAAGAAGACTGATTTACAATATATATAGCGGATGAAAAATGATTACACGCCTTTATGTAAGAGAATACGTGCTGGCAATAGGATAGGATTTTACATATTTATCCCGGGGGAGATGAAAGCCGATATAATGGCTTAATCCTATGGCGAACCACGGTCTCTCGTATGGTTACCAGTCCATGGACTTGATGATGAAGGAAGCCGTAACCGACCAGCGGTTACGTGAACCACCCTACGTCGGCGAGGAGTCCAGCAATCCTCTCGCACATATCTATCCCCGCATTGGATTGAAATAATGTGGAATACCACAGCCCGTACCTGAAGCTTCAATTAGTTTCAAATGACTCAAACAATATACAGGCAATGATATCAAGGACAGTATTTCACGCCTAAGACTCGCGCCCATCTCCTGCGTGCTCGTAAATGACGTTGAAAATCGCCCTATTATATAAAGTACTGTTGGAGAAAACCGTGCGATGATGAGGATAGAAAGACAGGTGGAGTTTGAACATTGTTGTATATTCTATATGTAAACTTGTTTGTATGTATATACAAGCTGCTCAATATGAGTTGGACTGAAAGTGACTGAAGTCATTTTATATACTGTATATACGTAAACAATGTTTTATCGCGGACAATAGCCTAGCGGGCCTAGGACCCGGCGTCGACCACCGTTTGGTCCCGGCGCATGCTCTACATTTTCGGACAACTATGTCCCATTTAGCAGTCTGTTAGCATATTTTATATTTAGCCAGTCTACCTTCACTGAATTCAGCTGTGTTTTGGTTCTGGCAATATGTTGCTTCTACTATGCTGAGTACGAAATCAAACTTCACTGGTAATAGTTATAAATATTTGAGATATATGGATTAATATTGTAGCGGCGGCATTGTTGGTGTTGCTATTACTGGTTGAGAAATTACGAAGAAATAAATGACAGAAAGCCCCGCTAAAATTGCCAAGCTGGTAAAGTCACGGGCAATTTGGTATTTTTTGAAAAGAAATCGATGTTGCTCGTTGTGCCATTTCCGTATTCTTTGCTGTTTCAACTGATGGCGCAGAAATTAAGATGATTCTGGAAATTTCCAAAGAATATAAAATGCAAACGGTAACTACCTACTACGGATATACAAGGCTTTACGTGCAAACGTATATCGGACAGTCTATCTAACGTTCTTGGCAGAGCTGTACCACACTTATCTTTTTGTAGGCGATAAACAGCTATAGCAGCCATGTCTTGCCAAGAATGTAGCAATTTAAAATATATAGTCAATACGTTTAAATGAAAGGCATCTTTTTGTCACCACCGATGATGTACTTTCCGATTTCTATAATCGGAACATGTGACATGCTTCGTTGAAGGAGAATATGTGGCTTTTCGCCCGTATAAAATTTGATAAACATATCTCACCTTTTTTACTGAGTATGCAAAAAGGAATTACGTAAACCGATACCGAGCAAAAAAAAAATAGTAGCATTATTTTTAAAATAACGGCCTGTTACAATCAACGATTGCGTTTGAGGAAGTCAAAATCGCCCCAGAAGAAGCAAAAACATTGAAGCGCTCACCTCTCATACGGTCATAAGTACATGACAATGAAGAAATGTGATACAAAAAAAAAGAGTAATACCCTAAATTGGGCGCTCCAGAAGTGTGTGCACCAAGAGATGGGGCACAACATGATAACCCTAACCGGGTGCACATACTATGTTCAGGTTTGGGAGCACGCCAAAATGTATCATATCCAACTTGCCACAATAAGTAACTTACCACTCATATATTTTTTTATCACGTAATTTCAATTCCTAATGCAACTGATAGATTTTCTTAAAATGTTGCGGCAACGGACTCTTTTAGCAAACATTGTCGCGGTAGGGAATCTCTAGCCATCTCATCCATCACGGAAAATGCTTGCTAGAGGCTAACAAAAACAACAGCCTTAGCGGAAACTAGGTGATTCGTCAAAAAGCACACGCGTGTGTGAAAGAAATTCAGGAAAAGCGCAATACAATAATACTGAAATCCTCATTTGCAAAAACGAGAAAATGTTCGGAAAATATGATATATTTTCAAAGTAATTGAAAGAATTAAATGCAGATATTATATTTACACGATTAGTTTTGCACACGTAAGATAAATGATTACTCTAAATTAATTTTACACCAATAAAAACATTTGAAAACACATTGACAATTGTATAATAATGTATTCATTATAAACCAACCACCATTTTATCACCTTTGAAAGCCTGAAATCCCCACTACAGGGAATTCTAAATTTTGACTCTGACGAGTTTGCAAATACAATTTCGTTCGCGGAAACATGGCAAACTTCGATTTCAGTCAGCCGCGGATATTAAGACAGCGTTGGTCTTGGATCCCATATATATTCATTCAAACGCGATAATTCATTTCAAAATTGACAGACACGGCCACGGGACAGTAACAACTAAATTTGCCAAGTCACGTAAGCATGACCTTTGTTCACACCGTGTTTTCCAAGCCCAAGGCGCTTTTGACATATAATTTGCCGGCTCAGTCAATCTTCAAGTGTTACTGTGTCTGGTTTTCAAAGAGAATATACCGAAATCCGAATTTCGGCAGCCTATTATTATGTCTGCCACCCAAATACAGTGTAATTTGTAATCAGAAACTGCTCAATGAAGAATATTTCATGAAAACTATTTCAACTAATTACATATTTAAGATAAACGGGCCAAGAGCAAAAAAATAGCTGTAAAATTATCATCTATTCTATTCAACAAAAATAAAACACTATTAACAGAATTGGTGAAATGCCCAAAATAGTATGGATTCAGATATTTTATAGCATTCATTTACATAAAAAAATGTATTATGTAATGTTGAATTATGACGCAAGGCGACAAATATTTTGATAAGATAACCGGAGGATTGGAAAAAAATAAAATAATAATATAATTATACTGGACAAAAGTGACATAATATCTCAACTTCAAAGTTGGGCCAACGGTAGAAAATAACAGATTGACACAATAACACATAGGTTGGGAAAATATATTGATACCAGTTATATCCAACCCTAAGCAAATATATTTTCAGGAAATCGCCCATATGAAATTATAGTCTGCGAACAAAAAAACCTACTAGACTGATGATTATATGTTCATAGTATTGTGACAGAGTATTGCTGCCACGAAATGGTAATGATACCCCATACTATCAGCATGAGCATGGAAGTTGTAGAAATTTGAAGAAGTTGAAATTCTCAAAATATCTACCGGTATATTGGAATACTCTCAACCCAGTCCAAAATTACCTCTGAGTCAAAAATTACGATTTCATTCGAAAACATAAAAAATATAAAGAAACACACCTCCTCTGAATTTTATTGCGCAATACCAACTAAACTCAGCTCATGAAAGAAACATTATTTCGACGCAGAATATTTAAATACAAAGATTAAAATATATTGATCAGCCATATTCAATCCACGCACACTTATGGAGCAATTTAGCATGAAACCATTCATATAACATAATCAGTATTTGATCAAGCATGGCCAGTAATGTGCTTAATTTTTAGAGGCATACTTTCAACATAGACAGTAAGTAGAATTTTTCAAATAAATATTTATGAAACAGAAAGATTTGACTGAAAATTCAGGCCTCAACCACCTTGACACTTTGTGTATAATTTGTCATCTAATATTTGTTGATAATTTTGTGTATGAGGATTCATATATATGGTTACACCTAGAAAGATTTTAAATGTAAAAACATTCCATAATTTAATAACAATATAATTTTACTAGTTTTATATAAAAATTTATATCAATACCAAGCATGAACCAAAAATGAAATCTAGTCTGCAGTGATGTTCTTCAAAAATGAACAATTTTCACATTTTTATTAAGTTTGCTTGAATTTGCAGATGATTCCTATACTACATGATCAAACTTGTCAATTTATTTCCAGTATTCCGTCCCGCGATAATATTGTTGACAATTTGCAAATCTTTTCATTGATAATAAGAAGTTCTCTATCTTATTGCTGAATAATTTGAAAAATCGTGGTATCCTTCATGATTATGGTACGTAACATTGCGCCTGACTGGATTAAAATAAGTCCCGGTATAGTAAAATGGGGACATGAAGACTTCTTTTATAGTCTCATCTTGTGTGTAAACGGATGAATAATAGGTCTCGCTTGGTTCATGTTGTATAGTAGTTACATTCTTGTACTCTTCAGTATAAAGGCCGTTCTCTGTGTTCTCACTATCGAAAGGCCTCACTGGTGACATGACAGCATGAATATATGACTGAACAAAAATAAAATAAACTTTCAATATATTGAGATCTAAATTACTAACATAATACAGTGTGGGCCAAGAAAAACAGAACACAGGCCATTTGGAACATATTACAGAAAGAAAACTACTTTTGTTGAAGTGTCATAGATTACTGAAATTTTTAGTACAATCATAGGTACTCCTGTAGTATGTGCAAAAAGATGGCGGACACAGGAACGTAGTATGTGTATCAGGTTAGAATAAGGTCATAATTTCAGGTACAAATACTACGGGAGTCACTTGGCTAGTCCCTGAACTCGTAATAGAACTGAAATAAGGAAAATTGGAATAAAATTATGGCCTAACCCTAACTTGGTAAACATACTATGTTCAGGTGTCCGCCATCTTGGTGCACGTACTACGGCAGCGCCCAATTATATACACAAACAGAAATTAACGTTTTCAAGTGTCAATTTTCTTAATTTTTGTAGAATTAGGAAATTTATAGGTTCTGTTTTTATTAGATCACCCTGTACCATTTTAAACAAGAATAAACGGCTATTTTTTATGTATAAAACAAGATATTACTGAATCAATTCTTAGAATTTTAGTGAACACATGCTCGAAAAAACAGATTACAAAGCAGGTTATTGTCATTTTGAGTAATGGGAAAATATCATTTGTCAAGTATGCGTTCGGTTTGAAAATACCAGGAAAAGTTCAGCAGTGGTACACAACCTTTCTCTTTGCCAGCTTGGCATGGTAAAATTGTCAACTTAATAACAGAGCATCTTGTCGATGACAACATATTTACTAAAGGTCCATCAAATTTACAATCTAACACAAATTTTGATGATGCAGTTAATCATCATTGAGTTGCTTTGATACACAATAATACATGATGAATGAAATAATACAACTATACTCACATTGAGCCACAAACTCAGGTGTATTAAAAAAATCCCGCAGATAAAGCTGATGCTAAACAGTGTGAAAAAATGAAAGAGAATGTGACGTTCGTTTCCCCTAAAATAGAAAACATTTTTAACTTCAAAATTAACGTCATTTTAATTAAGATAATATTATTCAATTAATGACAAACATGCTAGTCGTGATATGATGCCTACAAAAAACATGTTACACGAAATGACTGGATTGTTTATTCGCCTGTAAATGTTAACAGACTTCCCCTTTTCCCCATAAAGTTATATTGCACATGGATTATTTGTTTTTTTATAGTGTGACAAATATCATGGTTAAAGCCTATAAATACCCTGATATTTAACTAATATCCTTGCAAAAGCTGTTTTTGCCTAACAAAATAAGCATGGTTAATACTAATAGTTGTTAATCCAACATACAGCATACAAAGGTTAAATGAGTTTGAGGGAGTGTTCGGCAATGCTAGGAATGTTGATCAATTACTATCTTCCTGACTTTTCACCTTTGCAATGTAAATAAATATTTCAGAAGATGGTTCCAGATAAGACACAACATTCTTAGCTAGGGGTCTATAAAGCTTGTCACCCAAAATACGCCAAGCTACAATTTGTGCTTAGTTTTCCAATAAAAATTATTTGTCTTAAAATACAAAATCACAGAAAACTTTTCATATTGATTTAAATACGTGATAAATACATAAGAGGACTATAGAGTGACTTTATCATATAATCCTTGCAATATAGGTGAAAGGTAATAACAGTTACATAAAAGCCCAAAGTGATAGTACCCAAATACAAAAGCACAATTGGCTGAATAAAGTATAGCATGAATAGTGATTTAACTACCGTATTCATATAAGGTAATTCAATATACCAAAAGGTCATATTTAAAACCACTAAAATTTTAATATTGAAGTAAACTGATCTAATGGAAATCGGGTCGCTATATAATGAATATGGAGTATAATATAATATGGTATTTCGAATATTTATGGGAGAAATACTATAAAGGATATTAAAATTCATAGTCATGTGAGCTTATATCATTATTTTAACATTGCTTGTGACTGTTAGTTTGAGATACATAAAAACTGTTTGGATAGCATTCCAACCTTTGGCAAACATTACAGCCAGACCCTATGACTGAATACAAAATATTGACAGAACCTGACACATAAAGAGCAATGACCCCCCATGACACTTGAATGATATATTTCATTAAGATAGTGATGTAAAAGAGAGAAATGAATGAAAGCGATTACTCCAATACTAATTCAAGACTTTATATAAATAAAAGGTTGTTGGAAGACATTGCTGGCACATGTAATATTACGAAATGCTGGGAATGAAATTTCACAATAATACAGTGAACACTTAATTTCAATTTAGAAAATGGTCATTCACCTTAATTATAAAGTGGAAGTCACGAGCATAAAAAAATATAGCAGTGACTAATATACTGCAAGAAGAGTATAGTTTCTTCAAATAGGCCTAATATCATACCTTATTTCCTCACGTGGTTTATCCTCATCTTTTTTGTTTGGCACTGACCTATCATTTGATGAGTGAGCTGATTCTGTGGATGTTGATACCATCCTATTTCGCAATCTGTTATTTACATCCTCTGCCATATTTTGTTATCAAACAATTACTCGCATAGCTATATAGTGAAGCTATTAAAAAAATTATAATCAGCTGAAAAAGAATATTTATTTGTTATTTATTGTTTATAAACCAGGAACATAATTAAGGGATTCAATGACACAAAACATAATCTGTCCTAGTTTTATCAAACAATCACTCGCATAGCTATATAGTGAAGCTATTAAAAAAATTATAATCAGCTGAAAAAGAATATTTATTTGTTATTTATTGTTTATAAACCAGGAACATAATTAAGGGATTCAATGACACAAAACATAATCTGTCATATTTTTATCAAACAATTACTCGCATAACTAAATAGTGGAGCTATTAAAAAAATTATAATCAGCTGGAAAAGAATAGTTTCTTCATTATTTATGGTTTATAAACCAGGAACAATGAATTCGATGACACAAACCAATACGATACAGTATTTCAAATTTAATAAGGCACAAATAGACTTGGTATTTAGGAATATGTCCCAGTCTAGACAGCCTATAGTTATGCCAATCAACAAAAACATAAAATTATTCAATCACATCCTTCAGTAATCAGAATCGCCAGAGGCATGAAAAAATTAATTACCATACCTCGAATGCTCAGAAGATGTCTGCCTTGGGGGCAGTTTGAGAATTTTGTTAAATTTTCATATCTGTAAATGAGATAATCAGATTGGCTTTTTTTTTTAAAGTCACTAAAGTCAAGGCTTGCTCATAAACAACTTCTGGTTTTTATGTCAATTTTTAATAGCGCTATTGCCATAGGAAGATAAGATACTTATCACATCCCAGCCCTATCCCATCTGCCCTATTAGGTTAGAGCAGTGGTTCCCAAACTTTTTGAAAAAAATTCCATGACGGATACTTTGGAATTTTTTTTATGTTTTCCAGCCTTCTGCACTAAAACAAAACATTAAAATATCACAACAAAAAATCAATGCGCCGGGTAGAGAAACGAACCAAAGAATATGAAGCGCAATTCTCATGACATGTGGCATCCAGTCTGTTTTGATATTTGATAAACCTGCACAAGGGCAGCTACAACTCTGCAGTTAGTAAACTTGTGATGGTATGGATTAAACTCTCTCTGTGATATCACAGGCCCACAGCTCTGTGACATCACAATGAAGCAGCGTGATCGAAATAGAAAGTGGAGAATCAGTGTCTCCAGCGGTGATTGCAAAGCAGCAAAAAGCAATAAATGTGTATTTGCAATTTTAAGCAATTCATTTTTGTTTTATCAAGCTATTAGCCATATTACAGATTTGTTTCGCGGACCCTCTGAAAGTGCTTGATGGATCCCAAAAGGTTCGCGGACCCACTTTGGGAACCACTGGGTTAGAGCCTTCGATTTGTTTCCAATGCATGTAATAGAAATCCAACAATTAGTAATTATTCATTCACAAACCGAAACCTGAATTACTGTAAAACCAATATAGCATGAAATATTCTAGTTGCTTGTACATTAAAAAAACAGCCAGAAAAAGGATGTCATGACAAATCATGCTTCCTCAATGTCTTGCAATATATCATATGCACTGATGCACATATAATATCCCATGCAGACCAGATAAAACTATGTGTGATGTGTGAAAAGATGTTTTATATACGGTCTTTACTATTTATATACATAGTAAAATATATTTACAATAAATGCTCATCTTTCCATTGTTACAATGTTCTTTGTCAGGGGTACATATATCTCCACATGCACAAAATGCCAAATGTGGGTCTGTAGACAATTGGAAACAATTATTTTATATTATTCTATAAGTGCCAAATAATGGGGTTGACATATAGCCAAACACATTCAAGTTTATTTTGAAGTCAGGGGTAGACCGAGTTAAGCCCAAATCACTTTTTGCTTTTCTGAGGCCTCATTTAAAAATATTTCGAGATTTTCTACTATTATCTCACTAATATAAAATTTAATCAAACAAATAGTCCAAACATACTGTACAACAACCTGTACTTTAGCTTAATTACACTTAATAATTAATAATCTTTGATTAGTATAACAACAATGTATCACTGATTCAACAAACAAAATAATCTTTATATTTCTTTTATAATAACATCATATCAACACAGAAGTACCGGTATATTAAAATGCTGTACTGGTCTGCAATCATGTATATATATTTCATATATGGTGTCTCATACTTAATCCTAGATCACTCCAGATGTGACTGACTCGCGACATGAACCATGTTGTATTATCATGATCTATGTTATATGCTTGTATACGTGATGTGATTCAAAACACAATCGGAAAATACTAGAATGATTTGGCCAGCAACAAGAAGTGTTAAATTTTTTCATGTGTCATAAGCTGTATTGCGACACAAACTCATGCTGATACATTGCACCACCAAATGCCAATGATTATGGATTTTAGGTAAATTCCCGGTTGACGTATACATTAGTTATGGGTGTAATTGAGATGTGTCAAGTTGTCAGCCAATGAAATGTCGGGTATGAACTTATTTCAACTTTCTGATAAAATTGGATTACGGATTATTATATATAGATAAATGATGACTACATTTCAATATAATACCGTCAGTCAATCAAATTGGCATTTGGCAATCTACGGTAATCTATAAAAGTTTAATTACAACTATGAATCAGCAAGTTGCTTTATTAGATTTTCTCTTTTATTTGTTCAAATTTTCTATACGGTTCATACCAATTTTTTGGACGCACTAGTAATACCGAATAAATAATAGTTAAGTTATATTCAGTAGATCAACGATAATCAAACACTTTTTTTGAGTTTTTATTTCTATACCCTGATTAAATGTGTCTATATAGTGTGGTGCGATAAAATATAATCATTTGATTACAATATTGGAAGATAGTAGTGCTACCAGTATACTGAACAAGTCTTCCTGCTACTACTAATAAATAATATGAGCTACAACACAATATATACCAAAGCATCACTCTGTTTATCTCATGAAATACACAAATATATTTTGAACCAGACAGGTTATATATGCGTACATTAGGAGAGTATGTGCCGTAGAGGCTTATCCAACCTCTGTAAATATTTGTTCTGGGATAACATTGATAGAAACAGTTATATTATTCTCAGTTTGCCTGAGCGGTCGTGAATGGCTTCACAATATATATATTTACACAGGATCATACTCATAAAATTCAGGCCCAAATTATCGCAGTATGATGAAAAAACATGCCTGGATTGTGACGAACTAGAAGAGAAATTGTTCAATCTCAAAAAATATCACTAGATGTATTATTGTACAAGATGACGAGGTTGAAATAGTTGTAGGCTTAAAACGAATTCCCATGAATAGGCGAATAGTTGGGCATGATTAAAAAGTACATTATCAAAATGTGCTAATATGTGCATAGTTTGACTAAACTGGAACCCGGCATATACAAAAGCCTTATTAAAGGTCATCGTATTCATATAATTTGAAACCTAAGACAATCAAGACCACACCTGTACAAATCTGGTTAATAAGTATACTATCACAATAGGCTTTGATTGGCCAAGCCTTGGGGGTGGGTAAAGTTTACTTTGCAAAGGGAGAATTCAGTACATCTCTCATTTTGCAGAAGGTCTCATTGGAAAAAGTACCCAAGACCATATCATGTAGATATCTTTAGTTGAAATGCAATACAGACTATACAATAATATGTAAAATATCACAAATTATTATTTAAGAAATGTAATACCGGTAGATAACAAAATAAAAACACCGGCGCTCCAAAAGTGTGTGTACCAATATGAAGGTAACTAATTTCGTCAGCCTACTTTACATCAAGTTGTGTAAAGGGACTGAAACCAATGGGCATATTCACTTTGCTAACACAGACAGTCCTCGAACTCGTTATAGAACTGAAATAAGGAAATCTGAATAAAATTATGGCCTAACCCTAACCTGGTACACACACTACACAACTCATAAAAATTTATTTGACAAAGCTGACAAAAGTAGACTACCCTGGTTACCAGTTTATGTTTTTTAAAAAGAAAAACATAACTGTACTGATGGTAGAGCTGGCTCAATCATTCCATTTTTTTAGCCTCTGAATCTGGGGCATCATACAGTCATAGGCATGATATTATTATTATTATTCAATTTTGGATTGCAATAAACCATTTCCTTAATCTGGCAGAGATGTCATAGCTGGGGATGTGAGTGTCAGAATTTCTAATTGAAACGATTGGCAGCAAGATCAATTTGAATTGATTTGAAGCAATTACAGGATAAAAAATAGTTTAATTAACAGTTAAAATAATAATTCGGATAGCGTGAGGTGATTGCACAGCAAGGCAGTATCGCTTCCATTGAAAGCATCTCTTTTATTTTTGCCTATGTCTACAGCTTCGTAACACAAATAATAACACTCTTGAGGTTATTTTATATCATAAGGGTAACAGTTTTAGTTCGAGTACTTTGAATCTAAGTAATCGCAAATATGTCACGGTTCTTTAAAGTACCAACAATATATATCATAATAGAACATCTTTGCATTATTTTCTATTAAAAACGCAGATCTGAGATGTTCCCCCCCTAATTATTGCTTTTTTAAAAATTATGCACAAACGGTACCAGTGGTAAATTTTTGTAATAAAAAAATATGTATCTGAGTGTATATCTATGTAACAAAAGTAAATTATATCAGCCTTAGTATATTGGGTATTTTATGCATTCCTTCAATGCACTTTTTCTGATTCATTAATATTATTTAATGGCAATTTGTCCTGTAGTCATTCCAAATTTAAATGAAGTTAATGAGGATATGATGTCATCACACTAAATAAAATCAGATTTGGAAAAATTCGATTCGGAACATTCTAAAAAATTAAACGAACACAGTCCTATAAGTCAACAGTCTAACTTCGCTAACGTTACCGGTACTCCAATTTCGTCTGTAGACTGTATTTGTATTCATACAACATGATCAAAATAAGCCACTTATACAAATAAAAATGCTTTCTAGGGCATATTTATTTATTTTTCTCAACATTTGAGCACTAAAAATATCAAAAACGCATTTCTATAGACCTAAAACACCACCGTAGAAAATGCCAAAAGACGGACAACTCACCAGGCCTCTAGTCTAGGTAGTCGAGTTGTCTCTGGTGAGTTGTCCGTGTAGCCGATTATAGTCACTTTGAAGCAATACTGGTATCGTGGTATGCACATTCAGACATGGGCTACCAATGCCTACCATAAAACTCAAAGTACCGTATATGCTCAAATGAATATTAACACCGTATAGAAGTTGCTCTAACTAAAGTCGAACCGGAACTGATGAAAACGCTGCGCTTGTTTACCATTAGTCTAGCTCTAGCTGGTTCTGGAAATCGCAGCGCACCGCATCTGAACTTCGGAAAACAGACTGTGTCAGGTTTTTACGCATCGTTATACACGTCACATAAACAATTTGATATTTAACAACAGCAATATAAAATATGTTATTTATTTATATATGTCGAAATTTGCCTCTTACAAGGGCAACATCAAGGCAGGGTGGAAAACAATTAATGAACCAATCGGTAAAAATAAAACCAATTCTTGCCCTTCTGTTGAACTCGAATGCAAGTAGTATGCCTACGCGAATTGCAAATAAATTTAATGAACACTTTTCCCAAGTGGCTCAAAGCTTGATTGACAATATTCCGCAACCATTTAGTTGTGATCAACGACTAGCATACCGGGTTGTGATATATGAACCACCTCTCATCAAGGAAGCAAGAATGCTCATCCGTGTTTTAGAGGCCAATTAAATCATTAGAA